TTCACTATGCACAACATAAGGTTCATATATTCTCAACTAAAAGTCTATATGATTCTACTTTATCAATGGACTAGGCTTAACAAAATGTACAAATAGGCAAATAATGCATAACACAATATTTAGTATGCACAATATAAGGTTTATTTATTATCAACTAAAAGTCTATAAGATTCTACTTTATTAGTAAGCTAGGCTTGACAAAATGCACAAGTAAGCAAACAATGCACAATAGAATATCCACTATGCACAACATAAGGTTCATATATTTTCAACTAAAAGTCCATACAATTATAGTTTATCAGTAGGCTCGGCTTAACAAAAGGCACAAATAGGTAAACAATGCATAACAATATCTACTATGCACAATATAACGTTCATTTATTCTCAACTAAAAATCTATAAGATTTTACTTTATTAGTAGGTTAGGCTTGATAAAATGTAGAAGTAAGCAAACAATGCACAACACAATATTCATTATGTACAACTTAAAGTTTATATATTCTCAACTAAAAATCTATACGATTCTACTTTATCAGTAGGCTAAGCTTAATAAAATGCACAAATAAGCAAATAATACATAATATAATATATACTATGTATAATATAAGGTTCATTTATTCTCAACTAAAAGTTCATAAGATTTTACTTTATCAGCAGGTTAGACTTGACAAAATGTATAAGTAAGCAAACAATGCACAACACAATATTCACTATGCACAACTTAAGGTTCATATATTCTCAACTAAAAGTCCATGCAATTCTACTTTATCAGTAGGCTAAGCTTAACAAAATGCACAAATAGGCAAACAATATATAACACAATATCCATTATGCACAATATAAGGTTCATTTATTCTCAACTAAAAGTCTATAAGATTTTACTTTATTAGTAGGTTAGGCTTGATAAAATGCGCAAGCAAACAATGTACAACACAATATTCACCTTACAAAACACAATCTTCATATATTCTAAACTAAAAGTTCATATGTGTCCAATTTATCAGTTGACTAGACTTAAACAAAAAGTTTCTCAAGTTTATGAACAATAAAAGTCTGTATATAACGTGACAAAGTTCATTTATTAATAACATAATGTCCATCTATTTCACATGATTTGTGTGATTAAATTGAATATTTGAAAAAGTTTCTCAAGTTCATGAAGAACAAAAAGTCTATATATAACATGAAAGTATCCATTTGCTAACAATACAATGTTCATATATTTACAATACGAGATTTGTTGATATGATATACATAAATATCCGCACAAGTTAATTGCAAAGTTTGCACAACGTAAACTCCATAAATAACAATATAAATTTCATAAACAACATTACACCAAACATTTATATCAATTGCAAAAAAATATGTATTAGAAACAACAAAAAGTCCATAAATAATAACTTATTTTCATTAAATGAACGTGAACGTGTACATTATGATTAGATAAAACTGATATGGCTCAAACTCTGTCTATATCCTTTTTTAACAAAATAAAACTAATAATGGCAGATGCAGTACTTGATCTATTTTTTCACACTATGGCGAATCATTTCAAGAAGCTGGTTGGCGTAAGAAGAATGTAATCAGACAAACGCCTGATTATCTTCTCCATACCCATCTGGATAAAAGTGAATCGCTTACTCATACTTATTGAACAAAAAAGCTTCAAATGAGAGAGAAGGAAGAAGGAGGAAGAAGAAGAGAGGGAATAGAGAAGCATGATGGGGAGGAAAATGAATTTGATTATTGTATCAGTGTTAAAAGAGAAAGAGAGAGAAGGACGAGGGAGGAAGAACGAAGGAAGAGAGAGGAAGGATGGAGGAAGAAGCAATAATTTTCATTTGGCAGTTGGTTGGTTATGGGAGGGACAAATTAGTCATTTCACTAAAAAATATAATTATAAATGAGGCCTTTAGGCCTTCAAAATAATTTCAAAATTTATTAGACGTTATTTGTAAAATTCTTTTTTTTTAGGGCCCTTAATGCCATTCCTCCAAAAATATATATCATTCACGTCTAATTGTTTCAATAAACAAAAGCTATGAATTATTGCTCCCACTAATCTTATTTATAAGACATTTTTAATCAAAACACACAGATAAAGAAATGTGATTAAAATTAATTAAGTGTCTTATTTTTTCAAATTTTTTTATAGAACCCAAGTTACCTTTAATTAAAATTATTAATTTTCCTATTAAATCTTAAAGTGAAACATGCCACCTAAATAAATCAATTGGATATGTGAGCATTTTTGAAAATAACTCATTGATGTTCCATCAATTTTTATAGAGTAGTCTTTTATGTTTAAGACGAAACAAAATTTTTAAAAGGTGGATTATATTAACGACCAGAAGGAGCGTGTGTAAAAGGAAAAAAAACAATATAAATAAAATAATTATTAAAACTATGAAAGGCATGGTATTCATAAATATTTAATAATATTATTGCTTAGCTCGTCTTAATTTCTGGTAAAAACAATACTCTCTCCATTCTTAAATGCAGGGGCTAGATAGTTATGGGATTTATTTTGGTCTTAAATGCAATATCTCAATTTACTTCAATATTTATAACCCTTCTAAACTATCCCTATTAATTGTACATATGAAAGTAGTTTCTATCAACAGGAGTACTTCCAATGAAAATTATTAAAAGGTATATTTTAGAAAAATCAATTTACATTTTTTTTACAAATAATCAATTCAATAAATTTTTAATTTCTTCGATATCTAAATTTAGTTACCCACCTACTTTTGAGACTAGAGGGAGTAACCAAGTTAGATTTGAAGAACTTATGAGTTATAAGGATCCGGGTAATTTAGTTTTGTATATGCCAATGTATTATGCCCGCTCTACTGAAGTTGTACGTAAATATACAATACAATGCTCACTCTACTTAAGATACATGGAGGGAAACTGGGAAGCAATTGATCGATGTAACCAATATCTAATCGGATGCGAAATCAAAGAAAAGAAATGAAAGATTTAAATTGGTATGGGATGTGTTGTCCATATATGAACATAGACACAGCGAAGTGACAGGTGATATATATAATTGAGATGAGGGGGGAGCATGTATATGTACGTAAGTTATAATTTTGTGGTACAGCCTCTGCATTATTCATTGATGAATGAAGGTGAATCAAGATTCACATATTACATACTCTGTCAGTCCCTCCATTCCAGGCAAATGATGAATTTTGTTATTTTAAAATATAAAATAATTTAATAAAAAAATTAATAATTAATAATATTTTTTTAATATTACTCATCAAGTAAAAAAATATTTGAAACAATTATAAATTTAAAATTATATTAAATAAAAAATATTTTTAAAAGTTTACAATTATATTTTAAAAAATAAATTTATAAAATACTATAATTGAATTGCATTGATATATATATATATATTCCCTCTGTTTAAATATGTAAGATATTTTTAATTTTTTAAAATGTAACTATTATCTTTTTTTTAAAAGTATTTTTTTAATAATGACTTTATATTTATTATAAAATATTTAATAAAAATAAATATAAAAAATATAATTAATTTAAAATAATTAATTAGTTTATTAATGAGTGAGATTTATTTATATTTTTAAATGAGAAGGATATATATATATATATATATATAAACCTTATTTTAAATAGTTTTATAATTCAAATGAAGAAATATTGTAGAATAAGACGCAGGGAATTGTACGTCGTGGAATTCGCAGGCAACATTAATCACGTGCACAACTGGCCAAGGTCTACCTCTCTAGCCGCCCTCCATCTTATCAATTGTATATATATATATTTTTTTTTTTTTTTTACCCCAACTTCATTTTTTCCAATTTTACATATTTGCTTATTTTAACCTGAACATAAAATATTGATTGATTTTTTTTAACTTATAACGATGCATGTGTTTATTAATATGTTCCTATGCATTTTGTTGCTAAATTAAATATCATTACATTTTTTTTAATAAAATTCAACCAATAAGCCGAAACATTGTTAACTAGCAAACTTGCAAAAATGAATGAACTTTTACGGTTGGGGTGGCCAATAAGGAGGACACAGGTGCCTCCCAATCAATCAATCAATCATTTCATTGACTGTTCCTTTTGTTTTGATATTTACCTATCCATTTGCTTCTGGAAACACACTTTTTTAAAACGGTGATATTGTGAATAAAAACATACACGCTTATTTTATCACCTCTATTTAGATTATCTCTGTTCAATATTTATATTCAATGTTTATATGGAGACATTTATCTAGTTATTGATCATGATGTAACCCAGCAAGTTGTTTGTACATGTATTTTGCATCTAACTCAAAGCTCGAACCCTCAAACCTTGTTAAATTTCATGCATTTAGATATTCGTTTAAATGATTCTGAATTTGATTTGGTGCCAAGTACAATAAACAATACTTGCTTTTGATCATCAAATGCTGAGAAGGATGGATTATAAAATTGCCATTTCAGCATTCGCTTATTGGGCCAGGAGGCCCAATTCCACCTTTGTGTATTATGTGGGCCCGGAGTAGCCCAACGAACCAAAGCTTCGTAGAACGGAAGATGCAGCACCTTTCGGCTTTCTTAGTACCATTAGCTGCTCCGATTGTTTAGGTTTAGGGCATTGTACCTCCTCCAACCAAATTAGGTTCCTTTTACGGCAAAGCCACGTTAATTAGGTTATCTCCATTTATTCTCTTCGCTCCTCAACCTACTTTATTGAAATGTATTAGTTTCTTAGGATAAGATAGGATTTTGTGATCATCTTTCTCAATCTAACTTCGATGTCGATTTTTTTAAAGATTTGGCATACATGACATGCCTAATTGTCCTGTTATACCTATACAATTGTTTAATCAGAATATATATTAAATTCAGAAGCCAAGTCAATCTTGAATTAGCAAAATATAAGTCAATCGTTAACTAGTGATGAGTCAAAATCAATGGTAACAACTCAGCACCTAAAGCTTGGCATCAAGACAGAGAATTCGAGTACTTCATTTTTTTCAATTTTTTTTGGGTGATATTACCTTAAAATTTTGACAGAACTAAGGTTCAAACATATATAATATGCAGTAAGCAAGACCAGGAGATACATTTTTGTTATACTCCTAATCTGGACAGGAGCAGCCATCATGGAGGATGTAGTTGGCTTTACTAACTAGGTGGTTCAAACGGGGGGTTTCCAATGAAAAATGAAAGCCTATCTCTGCATAGGTGCTTTGATTTAAGCTAATCTGATAATTCAACAAGAAGGATTAGGTTGTCTAAATCCCAAGTCAGTTTTACGCCATCAGTTTGTGCTTCTTGTCTGTTCTACCGAGGCAGCAGCTTTGACTTTCATTCCATTGTTCTTACAAGAATGCTAAAATCTTCATGATCTTAGTTCATATCCATCAAAGCATCTGACCCAAACTTCTTGTATAATGCTTCTACGGCAGACTCAATGCGTGACTGGTCCTGTAATAACACCAGGGAAGCTAGCATCATATCAAGAATGGTCACTTCTATTTCTGGAGCAGGATTTGGAATGTGAAGGTTTCACCATACCTTTCCTGTGAAACTTACTACCAGAGATCCATATCTGGATTTGCGATGACAACCTGTATATTGAAAAGAAAATATACAATAGGAAAGAAGTAAATGCTGTGTTCTGTTACTGCTAAAACTTACCATAGTTTACAGATTTCATACCAATGTAGAGATCAGGATATTCAAGACAAAGCTTTGTCAGAGGTTGAGCAATGTCCACCTGAAGTTTACATGTCCCAATAATAGAAAGAGATCAGCCCATACTGTAAAAAAGAGAAACTTACAGGAACATAACCATAGGATATCAATGTCACAATAATTATCAAAATAAGTTGCATGATAATATTCGAATTCAAAAGGCTCACAACAACTACCGTCTATCGTGTACTTCTGATAGTATTCTCTTACTGCGAGCACGCGCTTAAAACCATCCGTATTACTTTTAAGATCAACTTTTGATATGTGAGGGCGGGGGCGTGAAATTATGCCAGATTAATAATTATAGATGTTAAATAACTAAAGGTAGCAAACAAATACATCTGAAAGGTTTGTTGTCACGTTCTTTGACATGTAGGCTTCGGGCAATGCAAACAGGTCAGAAGACTTTGTCAACTCAATCAAACAGTCCCACTCCTCTTCCAGCTCCAAAGCATTCGTTGCACAAAGAACTACTACATTTTGACATTTTATCTGCAGGAAACACATTAAAACTATGAAACCTTCAATCACACAATATGGATACAGATGTTAGTGCAAAGAAGTTTGTTTTAATACAAATAAAACCAATTTCTGTCAGTTGCTCCCCAGAATAGGCAATCATTCTTCTGGTTATTATGATATTTTTTTGATTTTGGGATTTTCAGTTACGAGTTCCAAGGACCATACCAAGGGCATGGATAACTTGTCATGATGCAACAATTTGGTGATGCCTTCAGGCAATTGAACCATCTGAAAGGGGGAAACCAAAATATATGAATGCAAAAATGCAATGTCAATTCAAACATATTTTAGCTAAACACAATATAACCAACTTTTCTACATTCAATTACCATATTCCAGTCACCAGTGCATTGATCACCAATAATATGCCTAAAACAGTCTCCAAAACTTTCATCAGGAGCCTACATTAAAAGCAAATGGCCAACCATTTCAATGATAGCGTTAATAAACTACAGGAACAAATAACTATACAAGTCCATATGCACGACTTAGCCAAGCCAGCTGAAGCTTGAGCACCACTCTAGGAAGTCAGGCTACTTAAGAAGCAATATCATAAGGGGCTAGATACAAGCATATCCAGGGAACCATCATAATATCCTTGAGTGAGGAATAAAACAATTGAATGAAGCTACGCACCATACGAACACCAAAAGCCTTCGCTAAACCTGCTAAAGTAACATCCGAATGCAGTGGACCTACACCTCCGCATATAATAACCTACAATAAGCAAGTCAGATCTGTAGACCAAACTACATTTCTTCAAATAAATTTCATGAGAAAAACACAGAATTTGTAAATGTCTACCATATCACAAGTAGACTTCTGCCGTTCAACTTCTTCAGCAACAGAATCTATCTGATGCAAAGGGAAGAAATGAACAATCTTTATGTCAGTTTAAATATGTGGCCTAAGCCCAATAAATATATGACTAGTTATCTACATGTTGATTGCAATAATTTCAAAATGCAGATATCTTCAAATCAGACTATTCAGCACTCTTTGACCCAAAAAAAAAAAGACTACTCAACACTCACACAGGTAGGACCTGAGCAGATATATAACTCACATTATTGTGAACAACTGCAACTCCTGGCACAGACCAACCAACAGAATGCAACTTCCTACACAAAGAAGGTCCCAACTGATCCTCAGCAATACCATACCTGAGCTATGAACAGAGAAAAGAAAACACAGAACTTCATTAAAAAATTAACAAGGATAATGGAAAACTAAATAATGCAACAATTTTAAATGCCGATTTCATCTTATCATTGCTCCCATCATTTTATTATAGTTATTGACCTTCACATTGTTCACATATTACAAGTTTTATATTTTAAAAAATATCATTCATTAACAATGACAAGTTTTATCCCACTAAGCAAGATCGGCTATATAGATTGCATAACGTCATTGTGCTCTATCTAATAGTAGAGCTAGGACCCAAGAGCAGTGGGGGCAGCATAGACATTTTTTTAAAAAAATTATAAATAATTATTAGTATTATAAAAAATTAAATATATAAATATTTAATATTTAATATTAAATTACTTATTTTATGATTATTTAAATGACTATTTTATATTAAAAATTCAAAATATTAATCATGATAATCCTACAGTCCTCATCCTTTTCTTTTCTGGTACCAGACATGTTATATCATATTTTTGTCATAAACAAGAATTACATTTAATTAACTACAAACCATTGAAAATATCACAAATTCATCGTCATATTCAAACAAATGCATGTAAAAATTTAAAATGTAATATAATATATTAAAATTTAAATAAATGTTTCTTAAAAAGAATATAACAATTAAATGAAACAAAAAATATCAGAAATAAAATTATAGAAAATGGTTTCACTGTCACTCGGGAAAAAATCTACATTTGGTTTGACTTTGTCTCTCCTCACATCTCTAAATCCTAGTTTTTGCTTTCTCTCAAAGCCAAGCTTGTTTGGTAGTTCTGGACTTAAAAAAAAAAAACAAAAAGGCTTGCTGGGTAGCTGGTAATAATTGATATATTAAAAGAATTTTGAAAAAAAAATTAAAAGACCAATATAAAAAAAATAGTAAAAATCTCTCACTTTCTTCCTCCTCTCTCTAATCCTTCTTCCTAAAACAGCCCCTCCCCCTCTCACATATGCACCCCCTATTCTTATTCTTCTTTAGAAATAATAATCCGAAATAACAAAAGTGTGAAATTAATAATCTCCAATACTGATAGACAAATTCAATAATCCACTTAAATGAATTGCTTCTTCTCTCAGCTCCATTCTCAATGTTCCCTTTCTCTTTCTCTCTTTGTGCTTCATCCCCATCTTTGATTGGCTTCAAATTCAAAAGTTAATTAGGGGCATCATATGAAGTATCCATCTATTTACATGGCATTTCAGAAAATTGAGGGGGACATCTGCCCACCCTCAATTACACATAAGTCCGCCATTGGCTTTATTATCAACCAAACTTTTAAAAATATTGTTAACCAAGAGATCTCATTCAACAACTTCCATAAATATATCTTTGGTCTTCTTCTTTCTCTCTTTATAGGGCTCAAGATTATCTGTTACATTATCCTCACTAGTGACTCTCATGACCTTCTTTGTACATGTCCAAATTATCTCAAATGATTTTCTACAATTTTTCCTCAATAGATGCCACACTTTTTCTTGTATATAGCCATATTAAGATAACTAGCAGCATTAAATAACATTACCCAAAGAAAGCATACAAGTTCCTAGAAGATCCAGTATCTTATTTGATATATAATTCATCTAATATCAACAAGGTACTTACAGAATCTCATCTCCCACAACAATTATTGATGCTGTGAGTAAGCTAGTTTTATGCAAGTCCAAGCTATTCAAGCCATTGCCATTAGCAGGAAGTCGTCTCCAAGTAGATGAGTTTTTAGCCCTCCCTGCCCTCTCTAGTCTTCCATCAGACAGCATATATGCGTGTTTGAATTCATTGGAAGAATTGCCAATGCTTAATAATGCATTGGGAACTGTGTCATATATGCTACCAATTGAAGTATAACTGTACAAGTAAAGAAATGGTCACCCAATAAAATTCCCAAAACACACACAAACAATAACATGAAATGTATGATGGTCTGGTTATTAAATTTTGCACCAAAGATCTATAGAATCAGAATCATAGCCTGAGAAGAAGCAAGGTTACTTTTTCTTTTTTCTTTTTTAAAAAAAGATGATAAAATTGCATGTGGCTGTCTTTTGAATGTTTACACCAGTTGTCATCTCAGGCAGCTAATGTGGGGCAAAGATTGCAATAAAAATATGAAAGCAAAAGCATGCCAATGCATTGAACCCAAACGTAAGGTCCATCATAGTAGAGTATTACCCTTGATCATAAAGACAGCAATATTGCACATTGCAAGTTAGAAGGAAGGCCCACACATCTCTGCCATAGAAATACAAGAAGGTTAAGACTATTAAATTTGTCCTAAAATGAAACCACATGAAGCAACTTACAACATCACAATCCAAGACCAAGAGCATTAGCATAATGATGAAAAGAGAAAAGGCAGCAAATATTTCTAACTTCTAAGAGAGAGCATTGGAATTTTAACCTGAAAGTAATAGTAAGAAAGCATAACATGGCCCATTTACTTAGTTACGCTATAAGTTGTGAACAGTTGTCAGATATTTAGGGGGACAAGAAGTTAAAGATTCAACAGCAGCAGCAACAATTTTAATCTTCAAAATATTTTACAGAAAGAAGCACACAGTTAATTATAATAGGTTTTCTGGTGTGTGTATGAGAGGGAGGGAGGACATCAGTATCGAGTTTGTTATAATATCAGCCCACCCTTCATCTTTTACCTGAACTTTTCCTGTTAGTATAAGAAAGAACATAACCAAATTTGTGACTTATCATTATGCCATAACATTATACATCTAGAAAGACAATTTATACCATGAATAAGCTTAACCTAGATATTGCTACATCTTTCTTCTAAATATGAGTTTCTATACACAAGAAGGGGAAAAGGGATGCTTAAAAAACTATTTAATATTGTGTATGAGAAGGTTTCCTTATTAATGTTACTTACAACTGACATGACAAATAACAACCGAGCTTTCTTCCTACTACTACAATTTTTGAGAAACTAAGCATCTTGCTCAAGAACTTTGTTATGACAGCCTCTCCCATCGAAATTTAATATTAATGTGAAGGGTTATTGAACGATTTAACAATCAATGTATCAGTTAAAAGAGAAATATATTTCTAGGGATCTTTAAAGACTGTTACTATTGTTCATCTATCCAGGTGAAAGTTATACAGAAAGAAAGTAGCATTAGAGTAGAACACAACTAACGACTTGATTGATAGGAAGTGCTTAGTAGAAACAGCATATAAGAAAAGCCAATACCTGTATGACCAATCTAAAATGGGATTCACCCTCATAAAAGGCGGCCACCCAGGTGAACTAGGCGAGAATTGTTCTTGACCTATCTGCAAGGTTGGGACGATCATGTATAAATATGACAACTAAATTTCCAATTTTATATAGAAACGATAAGTTTTGGACAAATATCAAGATAGAGTATAGGATATTTAGTTAAAAAAAAGGCAAAAGTCATTTTAGGATTGGAAAACAAGGATACCGCAGTAGGATCACCGATACGGACTCCAAGAAAAATAGCTCGAATCGGCTTGTTTTTTAACAAATCCTCCAAACCAGACTTAAGATCTAAGCGAATATTGTCCATTGGCAAACCATAGCTGCTCAAACATACTAGTTAGTGCTGCAATCTTCAGCAGAGACCAAGCCCCAAACTTTAATACAAGAATAATTTTAATGGGGAAAATTGAGCGAGCCCATTTTACAGACGCAAATACATTTGCAGTTTAAATTCAATACTATGAAGGTTCAAGAAACTTTGCTCACGTGGCAGCTGTGTCATAGGTAAACGAGTTGATTTCTGGAAATGTAGAAGGAGTCTCAAAATATATTGTTCGAATTGGAAAACCTTTTAGACTTCCATTAGGACTATTTTGTCCCCCTTTATGCAAGAAATAGCTAGCTCTGAGTAGGTGCAACAAAACCTACATATCAGGGTTCAATGTCGCTGTCAATGAGACCAAATATACAAACAGATGCTTAAAGATTACACAAATTTAAACTCACTGTTGAATCCTTGCCACCATTGAAGCTAAAGGCGATCTCCTCTATTCTGTAAGCAATATATTTAGTGCAAACCAACATCAGCTAGCTTACATATTTCGATATGTTATGAATTGTTCCTTATAATATTTTCTTTTCTTCCCCTTCACCCCTCCCCTTCTATTCCTCTTTCTCTCTTTCCTTACAACAAGGGAAATCAATTGTGATAAGATCAATGGTTGTCAGAATCCAAAAACTAATTACTAACATAAAATCAAAACGAGACATTTGCATTTATACTATAATATAGGCAGGAATTAATGGCTGCAAAATACGTCAAAAGAGGGGATGGGGGAGAACTATACTCATTGCTATACTCTTGCAGTCAGTTTTAATCATTCAATAAGCAGTTGCCCAACAGGAAACTAAGCTAATTGTTGAACTGGCAAGTTTTGACATGGATTAGCTATCCATTAACATCGGAGGCCTACTCATTTGACTAGTTTTAGAACAACTATGAAAGGTATTTAATATGCTTTAAATCTTTCAATCTGTGCTAAGCAACGAAAACGAGGAAAACAATTAATTCCCAGTAGATAAAATTACAACCCAGTCCAGAAAAACAAGAATGGAAGATAACAACCAATCTAGCACAAATCACACATAGCAGCATAATCCCATGAGATGAAATAACGAAAAGCTTACGAGTACAAAGAAAAAGCTCTCTGAATAACGTAGATAGAGTTATTGTATTTGGTGCGAAGCCTTCCATCGTCACACTCCCTGATTGCTTTATCGATCTCCATTTACCCTGGTAAACGAACATGTGAACAGATTGGTTGCCCGGGGAGGGGAGCAAAAGCAAATTGGATTACTGAGGTAGCATATCGTAGCCGTTTCATTTTCATGTAAAGCAAACCTGGGTTTTTCTTTGAAATAAAAAAAAAACAAAATAAAAATTACTTTCCCAGCCAATGAATGATGAAGAATTGAGAATAGGCTTGTATTGTGGGCAAGCAGAGAATCGCACTGGACTTGTAAAGTGAACTGCTTTCTATGCCAAGTGATGACCGAGATATTTGGAATGGTTGCGGTTTTGTTGCCTTCTCTTCTTGTTGTACCTGTTTTCTGTTTTCCTCAAAACAGAGGAATGGTGAAGAGATATGGGGGAAGTGAGGAATGGGCATGTACTTTATGTGAATGGCACAGGTTGGTTATCTCCATGTATCAGGAAAACGGAATGAAATATTGGAAATGAAAAATGACCCCTTTAATGCTTTTGCTTTTTGCGTTGTCCGGTGTCTCGTTCAGCTGCTAAAACCGGGAAACCAAACTTACGAACCGGATCCGGAGGGTCGTATCCGAGTGTGATGTGGAATTGGATGACGCATTCTTAACGAACCAAACTTCTTGCGGACACGAAAGCATCATGAGAAAGAAAGGAAGCAAGAGGCAAAATCACGTCAAATAACGACATGTAATGTTTTTTTTCAAAAAATGCAAAATATTCTTTTATGTTTTTCAAAAAATCAGTTTGTGTAAAATAATAAGTCTCCCTTAAATCCTAGGTTATATTTTTCTCTTGTATACATATAGGAAAATGAGGAGTCTATTTACATAATCAACTAATTAACCAGAACTTTCCCTGATATTTTGTAAGGTTCCGTCTTCTTCCAAGGGAAGAAAGTGGATTGAGCCCCACAAAAAGACGGGGAAAGTTAGTGGATGGTACGGAAGGAATACGATCTTCCAATCGTAAAATTCTAAACTAACCCAGGAAAAAGAAAGAAAGAAAGAAAATAATGCCGTATTAAATTTTGACACAGTTACTTCCACGGTTTTTATAGGGAAAATGGCAATTAAAAATTTCATAAGAATGTTAATGACAATTACAGGTTCTGAATTATTAAAATTTCAATAACAAATCATACTTCTTACTTGTAATAAATTACCTTTTGTTAATTAGTGAGTTCTTAATTAACACTATAAAGATTTTCAATTATTTTTTGTTAATTTCTCAAGTAATAGCAAAAAGCACAAGTGATTGGCTAGTGATTCACAGCTGACTCTCGTAAATTTTTAGCTAATATTACAAATAATTTTAAGTATATTTAGTAGATTTTTTAAATAATTTATCTATATATTGATAGTAAAAAAAATCAGAAATGATCGGCTTGTAATTCACAACTGATTCTCATAAAATCCGAACTAATATTACAAATAATCTCATATATATTTATTTAATTTTTCAAGTGGTTTATTTGTATATTGACAACAAAAAATTAAAATTTATAATTGATTCTCGTAAATTCTTAACTGACAATATAAATAATCCCAAGCATATTTTATAAATTTCTCAACTCACTATTTGCATTTTTAATTATAAGTAATGAACATGATCTATTATTAAAATTTTAATAATGGGAAAATGACAAGTAAGGACCTCATAAAAACATTAACATCAAGTTAGAATCTCTTCACAACTAAAGTTTCCAAATTCATAACTCTTTCTCCCATGTTTTAATACTAAAATCTTTAAAAAAAACCTTAATTTGGCATTAATCTTCTTACGAGTAAGGCTTACTTGTTACCTCCCTTTAATAATTCAATGTCTACAATTATCATTAACATTCTTATGAAATTTTTAATTGTCATTTTTCCTTTTTTTCATGGCCCAAATTAATTATCATTCACCCGTAAATATCCTAAATTTTACGTCCAATATGAAATGCTATTACAATAAAATAAAATCTACTGGTCATAATTAATGTTTTAGAAAATCAATATATCACTAAAATCTCACTCTAGACCCTACAATCAATCAATCCTTTAAGAGTTTTTGAAAAACTCTTGCAATCAATCCCGACTTTCGCTAGCTAAATCTGGATCCGTTGCTTATCAGTAGAGGGAGCAATCAAACCTAACTAAATCCGGTGTTTCTTTTCGAATATATTTTCTTTAGTCAAATCTGCCTCCTTGCTCTACTGACTTCTACCGAGATAGATAATGAGTTAATGTTTTAGAAAATCAATATATCACTAAAATCTATTTCACCAAAATACCTCTTATGAACAATTGTAGCTTGGTTTTGAGCTTCATGACTCACATTTTGGCCATGCTTAATTTTCATAGCTCAACTTGAAAGGGATTGGGTGGACATTTTATTTAAATAAAAACCCATCTAAAAATATTCAAATTTAAAAATAAATATGAAATTTGGTGGTGTGCCAAATATCAGGGACAAATTTCAAAATTTAAATTTCAAAGCAATTTTTAAAATATATATTTCGTAAACCTGATGATGCTACCTTCTTTTACTCTCCCAAAAAAAAATCATAGCAATGTTACGACTGTCTTTTTATTTTAGTGACAATTACATTGAAGTGCCACATAAAAAAATTAATTATTGTAAGGTCCATTGACAACTAAACTAAATTACATTGACAACAGTTATCAATGGACCTTACAGTAATCAATTCTCTTATGTGGGACCTAACTATAATTCTCCCTTTATTTTATCCTCTGTTCTATCGTCTTTTTCCTTTCATCTCTCTCTCTCTCTTTCTCTCTCTTTCATTTCTTAGTATCATTTGCTCAAAGCATCACCTCTCCCCCATTATCTCCTTCAGGAGACGCTTTTTCATTCTTTTTTTTCTTGTAGCTCTATTTCTCCAATCAAATGAAGAAAGGTGTAATTGCATGGGGTGGGAGTGGTGGTTAGAGATGCTCACCTTTTAATTGTGACCTTTAAATTTCATTCTAGTAAGTATCTTGTGAGGCCTCTCTTATTAATTTACAATTAACTCAAAAATTAAAGTAATCATAGGGTTAACTCAATTGGATTACTAACTTTGTAAAATTTTATCAATAAGATCCTAAGTTATCAAAATTTTAAAACACTATAATATCATTTCATAAACAAAAATTAGCATAATATATACATGCAGAAGCATTGAATTCCAAAAAGTTATAAACATTTGCATTTAAAGTGACAAAACAATACTAGTGCAAAAAAACAAAAGGTGCATTGCAGCATGTGAGTGATATGCTAAGGCACATTTCTCTTTATACCATGTGCCATGGCTCATTACACATAATGGCAACTTCTATTGTTATCATTTGGCAGTAAGAGGAGCTAAATTTTGATGCGCTCTATTTCTCCGTCTGACATCTAATTAAGTATAAAAAGCTTTTTCCATCTTTAGCTAATGACAGTATGACATTAATTTCATATTCAAATTATTTATTAATTAAAAGTTAGACACCTATTTTTAAACTCACTCCTTTTTCAATTAAATCACAATTTTGGTGTTTAATTTTCAATCCAAGTGTCAAAAGCCTAAATTTAACCCTAAACCACACTCAATAAACCTAAGAACACCTGTGTAATACATTATGACATACATATAGCACATTAATTACATCTTCAATACTCAACTTCTTACTTACAAAAATAGAATGGGGACCTTAATTTCATTCATCATCTCATCATTCATCATTAATAATATATTTTGCTTGTTTTTCATTTGCATTAGTATTTTAACCCTTTCTAGATTTCACATTTTAATACATATACAACTTAAAGCTTAAAATACACAACTTAATTTAATAATCATATAGTGTAAGTAAGTAAAATATAAAATCTCCTTATTGGCAATATCATAAATAGTTATACACATAGTTTTCAACATAAATAAGGCATTCAAATTTAGGATGAATATCCTAAGTCTTAGGTTGTTTCCCTCGATCTTACACTGATAAACTAGTTCTTGTAATATTGAAGAGAGAAAAAGAAAGATAAATACAATCACTCAGTAATCAAGATACATCTAATCTATACCAATACATATCAATTAATCAAAATGCAAGTGGCCTAACATTCTCGTAATTATATCAATGGTCAATTACAAATCTCATTTTCACATTTTTTTGCAAGTTAATCACATAATTTCACATGATTACATCACAAGAGTTACGATACAAACAACCATGTGTCTTTAATAACAGTATGCATGCTCTTTTATATCTTCCTCATGCCTCCGATATGAAATCATGAGCTATTACACGATGGGTTCATCCATGTGGTAAGATTATCTTAACCTTTCATGTATGAGAAGCTACCTAACCAAGGTTACTTAACTCATTTATAGTTCACGATTTTTTCCAAATCTTACACTATGATGTGTCATTCTTTTTAAACTAATTTTCTCATCGAACAAGTAAATACTATATTAGGTTCAAGTCCTTTGATAAACTATGAGATAGTTTCTTATTAAACAAGTGAGACAATAAATATAAACATATCCAAGCAAGTCATCAAACTCTGCACGGCAGCCTTACCACATGAATTTTAACACACTACTCCCCTTCTTAGATGAACTCTTGCCTTACATAATCATACAATGCACTAGTGCAACATATCATAATACATAAATGTATCCACCATATAATCATGCTTAACATTATCATCATACTCATATCATGTACAATCATCATATTATTCGCATCACAAGGGATCATTGAACTCTATCACAATTTATCATAGAACTCTCCTTTGTCATATGTTCACACGTTATTATATCATCATGGAACTCAATTTAATAATTCTCTTTCATTACTCATAGCACATACACATATATTCATGTATATAAATATATATCATTTCACACTTGCAAATTTTTCACAAAAACAATTATTTATTGTATCACCATAATTGACCCATAACACATGCCACACTTGCATTGAATGATTTCACATATTTCAAAATAGTTTATAGAACTAGATATAACTAATTAACATATAAAAGTATAAGAAATATTTTCCTTGATTACTTCAAACTTTTAAAAAATCAAAGGTTTATCTCTTAAATACACACTCTCAAATCTTTAGAAAGCTTAAATGGTGCCAGTATACAATTTAATCTACAATTTAAACATACCAAAAATCATCATTGTCATGATTTCAACAATTTTCACTCCTCAACTCAGCACTTTAAAACTCTTAAAATTATAACTTCTTCACTTTTTGACATGCATATTAAGTTCATTAACCCCCATTAGGTCATAATAACTTCATTAAACTCCCAACTAACTATTAATGGCATTACACTTCTCCATCCACTATATTTATTTTGGATTTTCGGATGTTAATGGTTCCCAACCAATGAAAACACATTTATTGCTCCTTCTAGAATTTAAATACCTTAAACAACTTACGTTGACTTTATTTAAGTTGATGGCTTTAGATCCGTAGCCACATAAATTTGAGAATTAACTTTTCTAGTAAACCGTAACTTTTAAACTCAAGAAAAAAATGGAAGAAGAAGGAAGATTAATGCTTGGGAAACTCACTTCTAGCGATCATAATCTTCAAAATATTTCAAATGCCTCAAGATTACAAACCTTAGTAGAGCTCTTTGGGTGTTCTTTCACTTTTCACTCAACTCCCTCTCTATTTCCTTATGTTTTTTGAGTTGATTCACACCTAATAAGTCAGTATTTTTAGCCATGTGCCATGGTGCATGCTCCTTATGCTGTGACATGAGGCGCAAGGGTCTCTTCTCTCATGAACTCGAGCTACGTATTGCGGCACACACTCTTTGCATTGCGGCATGTGGCACAGAGGGCTTCTTTCTCTAAAAACTTCTTCCTCATTTTTTCTTCCCTTTTAAAGGTCAACTAGGCAGCGCATTATCATTTCAAGCTCAATTTTAAGGCTGTAACCATAACCTAATAGGCCTGTTAATCCTTTTAAACATCTTACAATACTAATTTACCCAATTACCCTCAATTACTAACTTAAACTCATTTAACTTGGTAAATTTAGGATTAAAATTTTTTAGATGTTACATATCTCTTTTAAACTTGTTGTCTCTATCTCCTTTTCACAATATTATTAACAAAGAGAAGATAATTTGTCCATGGTTAGAGAGGCAAAGCCATTGATTCGATAAGTGTCAATAAGGAAGAGAATTTTTAAAATTGAAGAACAAAATTAATTCACAATTGAGTTTATAAGCATTTGTGACCCCCTGTATAGTTGAGGGATAATAATAACCATTAACCCTCCTTATAATATTGAGTTTTTAAACACAATCAATTGCTTTGACTTACCTCTGCATAAGGTATGCTTGAAGGTTGGAATACTTGTAATGTTGTTGTGCAATATAGAATAAGCCTCAAGTTTATCCATTTATGTGATGGTACCGGACTATGTACCACTTGTGTTGGAACAAGTGTTATAGAAGGCATTCCTTTGAATTGTTCAAAGCAAATTAAAAAATTGTCAATTCATATAACGGATATGAATCTTTTGAAGAGTGATGTCCTTTTCATGTGTAATGAAGACAATTCCTTATTATTGTTTCATTTGCGGTAATGCTTGATAATAATCAAGGTCAATCAATACACAATGCTAGATTGTATTCACTAAAGCTTGTCTTCACATGTGATCAGTTATATGTGGCATTGTCAAGGTTTAAGAGCATGGAAAGACTAAAGATTCTTTTGCTTGATGGGACTTTGATTTCAACCAATGTTGTTTATAGAAAGATATTTAGGAATTTGATGTAATTGATATAATGAAGTTGTATTTTTCATTGGCTAATCTTGCCATCAATGCCATCTCAGAATAGATTTGAATTAAATGTCATTGTTTATCCAACCAATCATTGACAGGCTTTTTCATCACGTCTAGGATTTAATATAACAAATAATTGGCATAATTGGTTAAATAAGTTTTTTTAGAAATGTAACAAAATTAATTAGACACATTTAAATGAATTATATTCACCCAATAATATTGACATCTAATTATTCAATGCCTCCTTACATCATATGGGGCAATAAAGGCTAGTTTATATAGAAAAGACAAGAGGAGAATAATTTTGCGATTGATTTTTTGAATAGAACTGTAGAAGTTGCCAACTTCAAACCATGGTTATTAATGCTAAAAACCAAAATTGTTATTACCGAGAAATTGTTTGTTCTGGTGTTATCATGAGAAATGAAATGGTGATTTTGCAAGTAAACTTATTGTTCCCTTGAAACTGATACATATCATCACACCAAGCAGTTATTCGGCAGGCTTTCTTTACAATCTTTCTTCTTCTTTTTTTTGGGGGGGGGCGGTGGGTGGTTGTCCCAGTCTCGTTATATTGGATTTCTTTTTTATTATTTGACCATTTATCATATTATCATGCCTTGATTATGCAAGATATTGAACCTTGGAGAGATGGGAAAATTTCAGTAGGAATTATTAAGGGTTTGTTTAGTTTTATTCTCATTTTTTATTTTTAAAAACTATATTGTAAAATAATTTTTAAAAATTGTTGTTCAAAACAAAAGTAAAATGAAAATTCATTTCATTACATTAATTTGAAAACAATTATAAAGGTAAAAAAAGGTCAATAGTAATAGTTGTCATGAATAATGATGATGGCTTATGATGAATAGATAGTGGTTGACCACAACTAAAGATAATTTACAATAATCAAATATAATATGTTTTAAAAATAAAAAAACAACAATAAGTTTTTTTGTTTTTTTAAAAAATAAGAACAGTTTTGAAAATATTTAAATTTAAAACACTTATACAAACAATTTTTTTTTATTTTTGAAGACAAAAGATAATTTTTAAAAACAGAAAACAAACAGTTCTAACACATTTTTTTTTATTTTTGTTCTCTCATATTTATTTAATACGCGAAACAAACTTGAACACCCAAAGCAAAGCATTTTCAATCCGTCCTGGAGCCTGAAAAATACTGAATTATTTTTCCCTGATTAAATAAAAAAAATCATGGTGCGGCAAGCAATGCATATTACCTGAAATTGTTGAAACAAATCTCTCGTAAAAGCGAACAAGCGTAAAACCTTCTAGCCCTACAAAATTTCCATCTCCAATGACAGCATTTACAAGCACCAAAATAATAATATACATTAATGTGCTATACAAAACAGAAATGCAATATGCACTAACCATGCATGTGCAATAAATTTTGTCCCCTTCACTTTGTTACATTGAAAAAATGTGCCCACAAATATGCAGAATTGGTGTACAAACTATGGGCAATAAATATTTTAGTCATTAATCTTAGCATATTTGGATTTGAAATTTTAGATAATTAAAGTAAGATATTACTTTTTCCGATATAAATTTTTTATAACTTTCAACAAACATTATATTTCTGTGACAATATAATTTAATTGCTCAACATATATTCCCTTTATTATTTCCTTTTTCACTTTTTTTATAGACTTTCTTATTTTATTTTTTGAAAAATATAATCATTGGTTCTTATAATTTACTTTTAATCCTTATAATTTTTCTCAAAACATGGACTAAAAACATTGAAATTATAAAAATCTGGACAATAAGCATCACTCAATCTTATTGAAATTATAGAAATTGAAAACACTATAAAAAACTATGAGGATTAAAAGAAAACTAGATAAAATTACAAGAATTAATGATTATATTTTCTCTCTTTTTTGTGAATTATATACTTCCTTCCTCCCCTTTTTTTTTTCTTGGGATAAATGTACTTTCTTCCCTTCATTTGCTAATTGCCACTGGTTCTCGCATGTCCGGTGTCAAGATACAGAGGCCAATGGGGACAAAGGAGCAACTTCTAGACCAATATTATTAGCCCAATTCTCCATGTCTTTGTGACTGCTCTTTGTTAGAGACTCCGAGGCTTAGCCCAATACTCAAAGCCCAAAACATCACCCATGTCATTATACAAAAATAAAGGACTATTTAAAACTATTTTTATTTTATTATTTTAAAAATTAATATTTTGTAAAATATATTTTAAAAATAAAAAATTATAAAAATAGGTGCTTTTATCATTTTTTTAATTTTTAGAATAATAATCTCAAAATACTTAAAAGTTGTTTTTATTTTTCTGTTCTCCAAAATAATATTTTAATTTTTTATTCTTTAAAATATTTTTTAAAAATACATTGTCATACAGATTTTTTTATTCTCTTATTTTGAAGAACAAAAAACTATTTTTAAAATAGGTTTTATTAAGTTTTTCATTGGACTGATCAGTATGCAATCTTGAGAGACTCTGACAGGTTATGCTGATTAAAATATAGTAACTTGTTTGGATGCTATTAATATAATAAAAACACTATAAAAAATACGCAAAATTTTACAATTTTATATTTGACATTAAAAAACAGTATACATAGAGTTTCATCTGACATAAAAAAAAATTATACATTTTTTAAACCGGAAATAATTTATCGATTTCTCTCCTTATTTTTTTAAGATTTGTTACGACATAAATAAGAATTAAGCCCATCATATAAAATATAATCTAAAATTAAACAGCACATTTCCTGCATTGTTAAATAATAATGATAATATTAAACCAAAAAAATAATGATGATGATGATATTAAACGGTGGAGAACGCACGAGCCTGAGTGTCGGAGCACTTTGGGGAAGCAAAAAGCCACGTCTTCACGTGACAACCATTTAGATTTTTTTTTTTTTGAATGAAAAACTGAATAGCTATTAAAAAAACAAAATCAGAAAGATAACAAACTTACAAAACAAAGCAAAAGTCACATTTCATCATTTTATAAGCTAACAGAGAATATAACTTGGGACGTCTTTAGAAGCGAATATCCATCTTGTTAACTTCATTACAGCTCATATAGCATCACACTGCAATTGATGCCGAACCAAATTTGGGCAGCTTGCTTCGCTTTCAAACTGCTATAATCAGTAAAGATCGGAGCAGCAAATGAAGGAAAATGATAACTTGATTCTTTCAAGTCACTCATGGGGCCAAGATTATGCTATCATAGTCTGGCCTATAGAGTAGCAGCCTTTGCGGGTGATTTTAGAGGGGGTAAAAAGTTACCACACACCATCATCGACATCATCAGAAGCCAATGCAAGCAATTCAAGGCACCTGTGAGCATTTTGATTTGTCGGCTAAGGTGGTCCCATTCCTATTAACCCCACCCAATCCCATCACTCTCACAGTCTTCTTCTGAGTGACCGACAAAATAGTTCGCATTCCAATCCATATAATTTTAGTTCAACAAAAGAAGCTATTGCCTTTTGTTTTCTGAAAATTCAGGGAACCTAAGTCCCTGTTAAGCATATTTCTCTGACCAAATTTATTATTTATTGTCTTCACTTATTTTATGTTGTTTACATATTGCTAGTGACTCTTGCTTGTCTGGTCATTATTTCTACAATGTGTCAATCTGATAGTTGTGGCAAATGATCTGTGGCTGTCGATCCTGAGGTTAGCTTCTGTGAAATCATGTCTTCAGGTTCATGTATTTCTATCTAGATTGGATATTGGATTCGCAGGACAGTGGCCCATGTTATTAAATACTTGAAAGATGTTCTGACCAGTGACCACCGAACCAAATATGCTGCTCACAAAATTGGTTGCATCTGAATGTGCAGAAATTCTCCAAAATTGGTCATGATCTTCCATACAGTTTACGACATTTCTATTGTTAAAGAAAATTGTGTGACTTATAATAGCACTTGTTTTAAGCGTTTGTCTCCAGAGAGCATAATTGAGAGCACTCACTCAAGGTTAAATAATGATTGTCCTCAATTTCCTTTGCTCCCCCAAACCCCATACAACTTTTTGTACTGTAAGTAATAAATATTTGAAGTAGCTAGCAAGAAAACTAGACAAGAAATATATCATTAAGGATCAGATCCTCCATCACCAATGGCGAATTGCTTTAGTTAGGTCGCAGAAGAACTGTGTCTGCTCGCTAATCACAGTGCAGTAAACAAATTAAATTACAGTTTAGTTAATAATATGATTGGAAAGAATCCTGTAAGTGGCAATGATTAGTGAGTTAGACACAGCATTGCAATATCAATTGGTGATATTATTAATGTAGTTGAGTGAGGAGATGAGCAGCAAATAGGGTAGACATAAATGATATGAATGTATTTAATCACAGAATCTACTATCCTCCAGGATAGAAATCTTTTGGACACCTTTCACTTTTTGTTTCCCACAGCCCTAGACGGAGCATTTCTCTTGTGTCTGTGTTTTGGATATAAGGTGCCGATGACTCATATGTGATTGGTTGCTATCAACATATACTCTTTTGGTGATTAATCTAACATTTATTTTTGTGGTCATAAAAAGTCAGTCGTGTGCATGAATTTCTTCTGAATTTCTGATATTTGGTATGATATCCCTAAATGGGCAATTCTGCGTGGCAATCAATCATGCTAGTGCAGCTGTAACCAAATCATGCATTGGGTCCAAAATGGATAGCTCCTGACCCACTCCATCCATGATGTTCACAGGTTCAAAACACCAATACTCACTTTGATTCATGAGAATTGACTCAATCAGAACTTCACCCACATTTCTATCTATTTTAATAAGCCTTTTTTTTTTTTATGTGTATATTTATTGAAACTGGCATCTACCTATTCACTGCATGGTAATTGTCACTGACGCCATGAAAGGGAGATATGGAATGGTGAGAAGTGCAAAACATAAGGGGCTGATCCAGCTGTTGCTTTCAGAGCCCAGATCTAAGTGAATTCACTGAGGGTGGAGGGGTTTCAGGAACAAGTCTAGAGTTCTTGTGGGAATTTAAAGCCATGCAAAACGACATACAGGGGCACATTTAAGACACCCCATCAGCCCCTTATGCTTCTGCATCCTAACATCACTTTCTAGCTTTCCAACTAGACTAACAGGATCTCTGTCATAATAGTTTGAAGGAAAGCAGTTGCAATGGGTAAAAGAAAATTATAAAATAAATGCATTAGCTTCCCCTTGTTTGTCATTTATGATCTACTATGAATTTTTGGTATATTTACTTCCCTAAGTCATCCTAAATTTCACCGTTAGTTCTCTTGGAGGGACCCACAGACTTATTTATATCAAACTGTACTGCCACTCTCTTCTTCCATAAAATCCAGACCTGAGAAGCCTCTGCCATTTTTACTATCTAACCCTGCATTTATGCACAGCAGATTCAGTCTGCTTTCTGTTTACTCTGTAGGTTGCTCGCCCTTTCTTCTATCTTTATGGCTCTCCTTCTCTTTATTATTTTAATCTTTATGATCCCTTCAAGCAATGCCTATGGGCCGCCACCTTCACCTGGCTACTGGCCAAGCTCCCAATTCAGGTCTATGAGCTTTTACAAAGGATTTAGAAGCCTCTGGGGTCCTCAGCACCAAAGACTACAAAAAAATGAATTAAGAATATGGCTTGATAGAACCTCAGGTTTGATTTGTTTCTCATCATTTTATATCTTGAATCTTCATCTTTCATTTGAAAAAAAAAAAAAAAAACAATCCGCTTCTTATATATCTTTTCCTGCAAACAGGCAGTGGCTTCAAGTCTATTCGCCCATTCCGTTCTGGTTACTTTGGTGCTTCCATTAAGCTCCAACCTGGCTATACTGCAGGCGTTATAACATCCCTTTATGTAAGATATGACCAAAGTATTTGACAGAAGAATAACATATTCATACTTAGTCAAAGTTGGGTATTTAACTAATTGTTTGCGTTTGATCAATGGCAGCTTTCAAACAATGAAGCACATCCGGGCTTCCATGATGAGGTGGACATTGAGTTTCTGGGGACAACATTTGGAAAGCCTTATACTTTGCAGACCAATGTTTATATAAGAGGAAGTGGGGATCGTAAGATTATAGGCAGGGAGATGAAATTCCATCTCTGGTTTGATCCTACCAAAGATTTTCATCACTATGCTATACTATGGAGTCCCAAGGAAATAATGTAAGTCACTGAACAACTTCACAGGATGTGTGCGAGTTTAATTTGTGTGTGTGATTATTAAATGCATAAATTCCCTGTCATAGCGTAAACGAGTAGGGCACAGAGCATTTGTTTTCTCATGAATAGATAGGATTAAAATAAGTAGAATCAACAGTCGAGGCATCAATAACTGAGTATTTTGGATGAAAAGGAAAGGATTTCATTTTCTCTGAAATTAAGGAAGAAACCGAAAGGGATTTGAAAGGTTTTAAAATAATCAAGATCACACAAGGATAGCAGAGAAAATTGTAGGCAGAGAAGTGTGACTGTGGGGCAAACAAAATCTTACAACACTTTAACCCAGTGAAAAGTCAAGAGTAACAGTAATATAGTGACATGATGTGTTCTTTGTTGGCCACTCTGGTTATTGATTAACTTACTATATAAAAGCAGCAAGCAATTACAGACAAAAACACCCTCAACTTTTTAATTAAATGAATATATCCCCCAGATTCTTTGTGGATGATGTGCCCATAAGGAGGTACCCGAGGAAGAGTGCGGCAACTTTTCCAGTGAGGCCAATGTGGCTTTATGGTTCAATATGGGACGCTTCATCATGGGCAACAGAAGATGGCAAGTACAAAGCTGATTACAGATACCAGCCTTTTGTTGCAAGGTACACCAAATTTAAGGCTAGTGGCTGCTCAGCCTATGCCCCAGCCAGGTGCCACCCTGTCTCCGCCTCGCCGTATCGCGCCGGTGGCCTTACAAGACAACAATGCCAGGCCATGAGATGGGTGCAGAGATACCACATGGTTTACAATTATTGCCAGGATCCCAAAAGAGACCACAGTCTAACCCCAGAATGCTGGCGTTCTTACTGATATTGGGATGCTTTATTAATATTACCCCTCAGATCAAACACTGTTCATCTGTGAGACTCTGACTTGCTGTGTTTCCACCTTTCACAAAGTTTCTTTTTTTCTTTATTGTGTGGTGTCTTAAATTGGCCCCCATTCTTGACAACGACGTTGATGCAAGTGTCCGGAGTAGAGCGTTCAAGGCTCCCGAGACAACTAAATTTGGAAGATCATGTCGGTGTTTGGTTTTTGCTTAACATTTGTTGATTCTGGTGAAAAAGAAATGGAAGAGAGGAATAAGATCAATGTCAAATAACAAGCAAGGAATTCTGCGGTATTGGGTGGATCGTGGCATTGGAGAGAGTGTAAAATATAATAGGCACGCTCTTCACTGTATGATGGTACTGTTATTTAAATGTTGACTACGAGATTTTGTGTTGGGCATGTTCTGCTCTGATCCAAGACTCATGCAATGAATCTTCAGTTATTAATATGAGAGTCCCATTTTTCATTGTCCTATGTGTGTGGAAGTGAAATTACCCTTTCAACACTAAAGTATCGTTCACTTTTTAATGTTTCACCTAAACTATTTTTTTTAAAAAAAAATCAAAACAAAGAAACGGTAATGTCACCAAGCGTTTTATATTGCAAAAAACCTATGATAATAAAGGTTAATAGAGCCTGGTTCCAAGTGAAGCAAACGCAGCTCTTGTAGCTGTTAAATAACGAGAAAATCCTAATTTCAACATCTGATCAATGGAGGGCAGTGCCTTCCCAGTGTGATCGAATCTATCAACAATGCTATGAGTTTTAGTTTGGTCCCAAGATTTTACTCCTCCATTGTTCTCTTTCTAAGAATAAAGCCCAAAAAAAAAAAAATACGGAGAGAGATTCCTCATTTCCATAGCAAAAAAAAAAAAAAGACAATGGTGTGCATCTGATTCTCACATTTAACTTGAACCAAAAATTATAGGAGGAGTTGAAGGCCAAAAAGAGAAAAAGTACAGGAGTAGCCTGGATTTCAACTCAACTACATCAGAGTTATGCATACAAAATTCAGCAGATAGAGAAGAAATCGACGAAGAAATTCCAAAATACATATGGGGAGCAACAAAGTTTCATACACAATGTTACTCACAGTTGTACAGTTAGACAGCTCCCTACAAATTTCCCAATTTTTTTTCAATGAATCTGACGCATCCCGCCATCTACATTTCTACGCTGACTAGTTTAATGTCATCAAGCTCTCAAAGATAAAAAATTGAACTTTAATTTTTGAGCGCCTACACGGTTAAGGATATGGGTGCAGGATAATACGAAATTATGAATATGAAGAATGTGACAGCACAAAGACCGGAACGCTTACTTGTTTTAATTGGATTAGGGAAATGTCATTCTTTGTATAATGAAACGAGCATGATTGCCCGTTGAAGATGCTTTCGGGAATGGGGCCGATGATGATGATGGTCAGATCAAACAAACGGAGACGTTGGTGGAGAGCTTTTAAATTATTGGAGATAAAAGGATGGAATGTTTGTCCACACCCGTTAGATTTAATCATATAATTCAGAACTTGTTAGTATCCTTTACTCTGCATTTGACATTCTCTGAACAGTTTTGATCATGACACGTTATGTTTGATTAGTCACAATAATGTTGTTGGCCCATGGCCCGAGAACATTGGTCTCCCTCAAGATAAAATTAAAACTTCTCCTAAAAGATTCCTTTCTCCCATGCGTGCCAAGCATAGGTAGGGATAGAGAAATGGGTGAGCAGAGGAAAATAGATTGAAATTCAGTGTAATCCTATTATCAGTGCAACTAACTCAATTAAACTTTTTTTTTTTAATAAAGTTTAGTTGAGTTGGTTGCCAGAACCAAAAATATCTATAACTCACGTTTGGTTACTTAAAAAAATGACATGTATTAAAAAAATAAAGAGAAAAATAAAATAATTAAAAAGAATAGTGACCTATATTCATAAAGGAAGGTGATAATTTAATTCATAAGATTAAAAATTATAATTCATGAAATTTTTGAAGGGTGTGATGATTCCCACATTTATAATATATATTAATGAATTTAATCATACTTATCATGAGAAGAACAAATGATTTAATTTATTTTTGTGTTAATTTTTTTAATACATTATATTGTGTTTTATCTTAATAACCAAACGTGATTATAGTTTATTTTCATCTGCATCCTATTACCCCATACCATCTTGAGTATCTTATGATGTGTTGGGCTTTGTTGGACTTGGGCCTGTCCTCGGGCACCATAGAGCTCGCTAAAACAAGAGTATAGAATGACATTTGGAGATTTAGTGACAAGGAAAGGATTGTTGCTGACATATAAAAAGGGTACGATTAAAAATGGGATGAAAAAGAGTGCACTTGATAATAGGAATGGCACCAACAAGTAATGTGACTCATCTCTCAAGAGTCTCAAACGTTATTGCCACGTTTCGTACGTAGGAAAAAGCTTTGCTGTTTCATGGCGATTGGAATGGCATGGGTTGAGGGAGGTGTTGTGTTTAGCTGGCTACCATCCAAGAACATTCCATCCCGGTTAAAACAAGGAAAAAGAACAAAATCCACGAGGGGAAAAAAAAGAAAGGAAAATAGTGTTCTTACTTCTTATCACTTCCATAAAAAGGAAGGAAGGAAATTAAATATCTTTACAAATTAAGGACATTAAAATCGAACATTTTAGCTTTATTACTTTTTTATTAAATGGATGTCAAAAGTTTTTTATATTATAAAAAAAGAATACACGAGCCATTTTTTTATTAGAGAATTGAGATCTGAGAACATTACGTTAAGTTATATATAATTAGTGACGGTAAGTTTTGTCATATTCAATGTGTTTGATTGGAGAGAGAATGAAGGAAAAGGACGGAACGTGACATTTTAACAAGTTTAATTTTAAAAAATTATAAAAATAAGGTTAAAAGCTTTTAATTAATTTTCATTATATTTTATCTCAAACCTTTTCTTTATTAAATTTTTATAATTAATTTATCCATTTCTTTTAAAGTAAATTTAATAAAATCTCTCTTTCTCTTATTTTCCCTCCAATTAATTTACTGTAGTGCCGGCTTTTAAAAAGGAATTTGTCATTTTATTATTTTTTAAATATATTATATTTTGTGTGCCACCCTCTCATGACCCAACCTTAGCTCAGTTGGTAGAGCGGAGGACTGTAGTTGTATCAACAGACGATCCTTAGGTCGCTGGTTCGAATCCGGCAGGTCGGAGCGTTTTGTTCTTTTTCTCCCCGTATCACGAGACCATTCTAGTGACAAGCTCTAACTCAACGAAACCATAAAAAGTTACCGCAGACTGCAATCACACTGGGACTAGCTTTCCCATAGCCAATTTACTTTATTATTATCACTTTAAACAACACAGATCAAAATCATCATTTCTAGCAAACCATTTTACTGTCACCCATACCCAGCCACGTTAAAATTCCTCAGAGCTCTTACACGGCAAGATGTAGGACGTTGATCTTGTATGTTCTAAACACGAGTTATACAAGCCTATCCATTCTGTAGCACAACCAATACTAAAATTCAATTTCAACAGGGCGAGGGCATGTTAAACGCACTCTCCAAGTTTTTCGACCTCCTGTTACAGACTTTAGTTCCAAGCCGCTCATAACAACAATGATGAAAGCGGTAAACTTTTGATTACAAAAAATTACAGCAGTGAACCATATTTTGGAATAAAAAGATACACAGATACAAAACCTGACAACCTGAATACATTCATCCTTAGGCTCCCCAAGAGACCTCCAATGTGACATTTTTTGGGGGATTGAAGTAGGAGGAGGGACAAGAAGATCAAAAAGAATGAACAAGCTATTACACGTGATGGGAAACAAGAATCCCAACAAAAGTGGATAAATATGGCCTGACAAACCAAAGAATCAGCCAAAATACGCACCCAGAAATAAATTTTGAAGCGTTTCTATCATTGCTTTGAGGATAAGGAACCTGCCAAACGAAGGGTTAAACAGTAAGCTTGATATGCATTGTGACAATTGACAACTACATCAAATCATTAAAACAATTAAGCAAACAAGTTCGAGCACTAAATTGTGGCAATTAAAACAAACTAGATCATGACCATTTGTACAGTACACTTTTCCCCCAATCTTGTGATTCCATGCTATCATTGTTTAGGTATTAGGTTTAAGTTAGTGGTAACAGCTGAAATTCCCAAGGCAAAAGTAACAACCCACGAGTGTTCCTGCTCCTGACCCCTCCTTCCCTCACTATATATTGCAGTCATGCACTGATAAAGGCATACAGCAGTTGCCTTGGCCCCAAAAAACAAGGCATCATAATATAGAATTACCTTTCTCACGAGAGTTTGGTGCAGAAAAGTTGCAATGAATTTCCAGTTAAACACCCCAGTAATCCATGATTAGGTGAATACTTCAGATCCCGTGCATGCTCTGGTAATTTCAAACGCTGAAGAACCCCAAAAGATGGCAACTCTTGCAAGACCAATTCACACGAACGTTCATCTCCAGTTGCTAACAATCGGCTCTCACTCTCTATATCCATTATTACACATTTTGGAAGTCGAATGTTACTTACATTGGCACATGAGGAACCCAACTGCTGAAAGTGGTTTCCACCATGTCTCTTGAACAAAACATGAGAGCCCTGGACTCCCTGTCCTTTAACTTGGGAAGGAGTGAGAGATGGTTGAGAGAGAGACCCATCAATGGACATGTCAAATTTGGGACGGTATGATATGACAACATCATCACTGCTTGGGCAATAGGCAAGAGATATACAAACACCTTGATTACCAGTTTCAGGAATCATACATGGCCTTCACAAAATAAATACATAAACCCATCAGCAAAGCTAATAACTGTAAAAATACAGAACATGACGAAGATTCCACATTAGTGCTGTCAAAATCATCAGGGGCCATAACGAAGATTCGTTTGGAAAAGTCCAACAAGGGATCCACACTAATCTGATTAATAATGAAACCAAGGTGTGTTTCCAAAATGCAGATAGAGCAGCAATAAGTTTTTTCTTAAAAAAAAAAGAATGAATATATAACTCACAAGAACTCTTTGCTTTTACAGTCAAAACCAACAAAAAACCAGAGGGAACAAAAAGAAAGGGAATATGCAAAGATGGACCAAAACAAAAACTGCCAATACAAAAACCTTCACTAAAAAAAAGCAGAATTTGTCTCCGTCAAAGTTAAACAAATCACAAATTCTACTAAATAGAATATGCAGGGGGGAAGTTGAGCAGAATATTTATAAGGCATTGATAATAAAAATAAAATTGACTTCAGTCTAAATATACATAACACGTAAGAGCCTACCTCTCTTCAGCGCCTATGTTCCACTGACACAGGCCAATCGCAGAAGCCGATAGAATTGTTCTAACACCTGAAGGAAAACTGGAATCTTGTACAAGAGACTGTACAGTATGAACAGGGTTGCTCGTTAACCCATTTTGGGATTTTATGGGGCCAGCAGTTTGGCGCAAATCAAATTCCAAGACAGAACCATTCTGCAAAAAAAGATAAAGAAAAATCAGTCTGTAAAATTATTATTCCCAATTAATACAACACCAAGGTGCTGACCTGTAGTCCAGCGTATACATAATGGGAACTACTGCGATCCCATGAACATGACCAAGCAGGAACCTAAAAACAGAATGCCAGTAAGATGAGTACATGCACAGAAACGTTATACAACCACAAAGCATAAGGAATGTTAAACCAGTACCAACATCTATTATTAGCACTAGATAGAAATAAGAGGGTTAAACTTCTACCTGTAGATCATAATTAACAACAACATTGTTGCTCTCCATGCTGTAACAACGAGAATTACAACAGTGACTGAATTTTCTTTTCTTTACATGCAAGAAAAAATAATGAATAGATAATGCCTAATGTGATCCTACCTGAGTACCGATAATTTCCTTCCTAATGAAGCATAAAGGGCCAGGTCACTGTTCAAAGGGGAAATATGGAGATCTTTAATAGCACATGAAGCAGAAGGCAGCAAGATATCTTCCATCTCATAGGGAGGTATCAAGCTCATCTGCAGAACCAGGTTTCCAGAAGTTAAAAGAGATATCTCATTGCATGAGGAGATACTAAAGATGTATAAAAACACATTTAAATTTTAAAATTGAAAGACCTTACTTTAGTTAGCAAGTAAGGTCCACCTATCCCTTTTGGCCTTTGTGCTATTAACAAAATTTGATTAGAAGCATTTACGTCAAATACAAGTGCGCTGGTCAGCTGAAACTCTCTCTGCAAAGATTGAAAAAACCATGTCAATGAATTATGTATTGGATAGAGTAAAACCAAGTTCTACAAGAAAGCAAACATACATTCGCTGACAAGTGACAGTTATAATATAGCATAACATTCTACAGAAGACACTTCTTATGTAGCAAGAGGTGTTAAAACATTTATTGGTCCTTTGTTGGTGCAGGGATACATCTGACTTCAGGAGAGTGAAGTCATACTGCCTTACCTGCAATTCAAAATTGCAACAATGTCCTTTCCCATATATTTTTGCGCCAAAGCCATGTTCTACAGAATATTTTTTGAACTAGAGTAAATAAGTCCAATCAATTGGAAATAAAAGGGGCTTTGCACAAGCTATGGCATTAATTAAAAGTTTAAAACTTTGGGAGGAAAAGATATGCATGTTTGGAAATAACTTGACAAATGCTGCCAATTTGTCAATCCAAACAAAAATATTATGCTGGAGGTTTTTTATTTTAAAAAAAAAAGAGGAAAATAAGACTAGAGGATCTTCAATAGAAGATCCTTTATTCAAAACAATGATTACTTGATTCAGATCTCCATCGACAATTCCCAATTGCCCCCATGGCACTAGTTTGTCTTCTATCCATATCTTGTATCAGCTGCTCCAAATATGCATTTCTCTGGAGGATCAGAGTTTAATCAGTAAAAACAATTCAAGTCACAAACACAAACATCGAGAAGGATCTGAACAGAAAAACCAACATCAATTGCACCAACTCGTCATGTATTCATGAATTCATATTACTTGAGTATATCTGTCTAGCATCATCCTAAAGCACGTTACCTCAATTTATAAAATCCAATTGTCAAAGGCTTAGGCCACACGAGAAGACTTGTTAGAGCAGCATGACTATGATCTATGAAAGTGCATAAGAACTGGAGAATGCAAAATACTTGTTTCCAGGTGTAGTAAACGACAGTGAAAAAACTTATCAGGAGTGTTATGTGTCTGGGCAACAGAAAAAGACGGTTGGACTGTAGTCAAAAGTTTGACAGAAAATAATCAGTTGAAAGATACCTCCGTAAGTTTCTTAACTTCAAGATGCAATTGAGCTTCTTTTTTCTGCCATGCTGCTTCTTTCTTGTACCAGTCCGAGCCCTAAGGACATAACTCTCACAGCTCAATCCACTACGATAATCAACAGTAATAGAAATATAGCAGCATATTCTAGTAAAGTCCATGCCCCCTATTGCCAGGGCACAATGACAGAACATAACGTTTTCTTTTTATGGTGGGTGAGAAGGGAGAAGAGAGGAAAACCTTTTAGCATACAGAGAGGAGATCCTCAAAAAAATGACAAGCCGCCCAGAAAAACACTTTTTTTCCATTTTGTAAATAAAGGTAAATATTCTAAGCAATTAAATTCAAAACTTTCTTTGGCACCATACCTTGCGTTCAAGAATAGCACATCTAGCCTCAAGCGACCGAATTTTCTGCAAACATAGATGACTCATCAAACAAATTAATTCTCCAAAGTCTATTTTAATGTTATACACACGTAAAATTAACACGACCTTCTGCGACTCTTCATCAGCAGCAAGTACACGTGAAGCATAGAGTTTCCTCACATCCCTCAATGCACATTTCCTGTTGCATTGTGGACACTAAAAGAAAAGTGCAAACAAAAGAACGTTATAGGTTTTGTATGCTGCTTTTTAAAAGTTTTACAGCCAGAACAGACAACTACCTTCCCAGAATTTTTTCGTTGTTGAAGCCATCTTTTGATGCAAGACATACCATACATGTGCCCACACGGAAGACAGCTGAATTCATGCGACAGAAAAAAGGTATTAAATGAAAAGCAGCCAATATATGCCGAACATCGTCGAACAGGAATGAAGTTATAAACAAATGTGCTTGAACGTCACATATCAGAAAAAGGATAGGATAATATTGAATAAAAATCAATTATAAAGAGGCTCTGATGGCTTTGCACCAGATATGATGTTCGCCGTCATTGGTCCAAGCATCCATGCAAATGGGGCAAAACAAGCCATCAATGTCAGCACGGTTCCACTCATTCCCTTTAGTACTGTTGGCGCTCCCGGTTATCAAAGAGGAACACGTTTCTCCTCCTTCAGTCCTCCGCCGTTTGTTTCCCTCTTCTTCAACGCAATCGTCCGGAACCTGAATTATGGTATCATGTTGATTGGAGGCAGAAGAAACGCCCTGTGATGCCCTAGGAGACTGTACAAGTGGGATATACTCTTCGGCCTCGTCTTCATCATCGTCCTCGTCCTCGTCCTCCTCGTCATCATCGTCCTCTACTTCTCCGCTGGCAGTAGATTCCCCTTCGTTTTCAGATATTTGTGCCGCTAATACTTCAACATCCTCGTACTGGGAGAAATCGTAAGAATCCGGCATGACAGGAGTACACAGTGAAGGACCAGACTCAGTTACAGACTTGGTTTGGACGGGGATTTTTGGAGCGGACGGATGGAAAGGCGAGGAAGAAGGTTGGAAAAACTGAAGGGGTATGGAAATTTTCTGTTCCCCCCTCCCCTACTCTTATTTTTCTCCTCTCTCATTTAAAGGTTTTTGGAGGAGACAAATTTTATAAATGTTCTTATTAAGTTTATTATATTTTAAATATCATTGTTTTAATTAAATAAAAACATGACGTTACTTTGACTGCCGTCGATTATCTATTATTAATTGCTAAATATAAGTCTTTAATTTAAAATTAATAAGATAATTTGTTAAACTTAATCAAATAATTTTGAAAAAATATTACCAAAATTTATTTAAAAAAATTTCTAGTTGAATATCATAAAGAGATGAGATAAGAGATTTTTAAATTAAAAAAAAACTAATATCAATACCTTTTCTGTAAAAGAAAATGAGTAAAATAACGTAAAAGTATACAAGTCATATTATAATTAGCTGTCATTCCTCCTCTCTTGAACTAAATAAAAATCATTAAAACACCTTTTTTCCTCCACTTCTTCTAAATTGAACAAAGAGTGCATTAACGTTAAATCCCTTTTCTCACCTGCTCTTCACTCCCCTTCATTAACCTCCTCACTTTTCCCCACCCCTAAACTGCATCGGCATGTTATTATTGGCCAATCATTATTGCTAAAGACTAAGGTTCACATTAATACTTTTGAAGCTTGTCATTAATTTTACTTATTTTTATGTTCCTGGAAAGATTAATAATTGATGATATGGTTGTACTTAAATTGTGAAGCATCCGTGGGCTTACACCGAGAAGAACAATTTCCAAGACTAACAACAAAAGGAAAATTATTCTCAATGATGAGCTGCATGTGTTATTTGAGACAAATTATGCTGTTATGTTCAAGATAAATCAAGGGTTGAAGGGTAAATTTACACATAAAGTAGTTGGTCAGGGACGTCCAGTATCATAAAGTGAGGAAAAGGGCCATAAATACTTATAACGTTACATGAGTGGTGTAGAAGTGACCAAACCGTTAACTTTGCTTTAATGGCATTAGTTTTTGGCGTTAAATATTGACTATACATGTCACGTGTTAATTTTTACTAATGTGGACTAAAAGGAAGGAAAATTCCCACGATGCAGTCAATCAAGGACACCTAGTAGCTTAAAGCGAAAAAAAAAGATAAAAATACTCATAACATTATTAAAATTGGTGTAAAAGTGACCAATTCATTAAATCCCTTAACCATTGACAGTTTAACTAACACCCAAGTAAAAGTTGACCATTTTTTCGTTGATATAAACAAAAAATATTTTCAGGTGAATTTTTAAGAAGGTTGATCAATCATTGTATAAGTACCCATAATGTTACTTTAGTAGGTACAATAGTAACTAATCTATCAAACCTGAGATTCAACACAATAAGATAGGTTGTACATAATTAAAGATCAAGACTAAACACACCTCCTATGCACCCTGCCTTAAGAATAATGTCACAACCTTAAGTAATTTTATTCAATATAGGTTCAAAATTTTTAAATGATTTTCACTATTGCTGTAAAGAAATAAGCAATTCAATTTGATGTTCAGTCAAAATGATATTTTCTCACATAATATTCATATGATGACTGATTAACCTCTATAAAATTTGACTTGGGAATTTTTTTTGTCCATATCAAAAAAAAAAAGGTCAACTTTTGCTTAAGTATTAGCTAAATAATCAACATTTAAGAGATTTGATGAATTAATCACTTTTACACCAACTTTACTAACATTACAAGTATTTTTGCCCTTTTCACTTTAGGCTATTAAATGTCTCTAACTAACCACTTTGTGGATATTTTTGTTCTTTTTAAGTCTATGTCAGCAAAATTGACACGTGTCATATATAATCAATATTTAACACTAGAATCTAACGCCATTAGGGCAAAGTTAACAGTTTGTTCATTTCTGCATCCACTCATGTAACCTTGTGGGTATTTATGTCCCATTTCTCACTTTATGATACTGGGTACTCTTGACTAACTACTTTATACATAGATTTATTCTTTAACCTATAAATCAATTGTTAGCTAAACATGCAAGACATTACATGGGCTTGGTAAACAGGGTCGTGGAAGCCACAAGGCAAGTGAGGCAATTGCCCTAGGTCTCCAAAAAATATATTAATACCTCTATTATATGTGTGTGTGTAATTGATATTTGTATTATTATATATTTAATTGTAGATGAAAAAGAATAAAAAGTATTGATTGTTTTTTCTGTTGAAAAGTTCCAACCATTCTCAATATAACATTAATTATTGAGTTGAGTTCATTATCTATGTAACAAAGAATAGTGAGATCCATAACACTAATTTGTGCTACATAAGCTTGCTTTAAATTTCTTTCATAGTTTTACTTTTCGTTTTCTCCTTTTTCTTATTCCAAAGCCTAAAACATTGATAAATATTAGTATCAAGACTTTGTATAGTTTTAGACCATCAACACGGCACTTTTAAGCTTTATTAAAATCTTGTTTATAATTTATATAATTATTATTAGTTTTTCACACTAATCATTGATATTGTTAGTCTTAATTATATCTTTTTTTATTAAAATGTATTGTCATCCCATATTAATATTAACATTCTATCTCAATATACAATATGAGGTAGGAGCACTTTGCCAATACTAATTTTTATTTAACTATTAAATTAATTTAGTATTTATTAGAATTATAAATTTTAATATATAATTTTATAAAAAATGATGAGTATTTTTTTTTCAAGGAATAATTACACATGCCAAGCTTTTTAGATAATTTTGCCTGAGGCTTTAAAATATCTGCACACAGCCCTATTGGTTGGTAAATTCTCTCTCTTCCACGCAAGACACTGTGTATTTGAGACATTATGCGGGGTTGACTCATTGGAATTCAAGCCATAAAAGAAAGCAACGGTGATAATATTTGTTTTGTGTGTGGTGAGGGGGGCCCAAACAATTAACACAAAGAAAGCTATCCATGTTATTGCTTAACATGCAAAAAGGGTAAAGTTGCTGCTTTGATAGTGGTATGGGTCAAGTAACAAAAGAAAGTGAATGTGAAATGAAATGGACGGTCATGCTTCTCTTTTCATAGTTTTCTTCACCTTGACATCTGTGATTTGGCTCTTGTAGTGGCAACAAACAAGTAGGGGAGAATTTTGAACTGTGCTTTCTATAGCTGTGTGTATCAGGATGGTAACCATTAGTAGGATTGGTATAAAATGATTCTCGCTATGCTTCATTGTTACTAATTTCACTTGTTTGTTTTATAGAAGTTGTGCTCCTCTGATGAATTAGAAGTGGGATTTATATTTGGCTCATTTGAAATTTGTTAAATTGGTTGTTAGCCAAAAATTATGTTTAATGCCTAATAAATCACCAAATCATCATCATCTCTTTATCCTCATAATCCTTAATTGTATAACCTATATCATTAATGATATTTCAAGTTTATCTTTTTTTGGGCACATTGACACTTTAAGTCACGCAAAATGATGAGCAATTACATTAAAATATTTACTCCTTCTCTTTAAGAATGTAAGACATTTTTAACCGAATTTTATTTTTTAATAAAGTAGTCACCTACTTTCAAACTAACTCTATCTTTTCATATTTATCCCTATTGAATACTCTACAACAAATAAAAAATTATTATAAATGGGAGTTCTTTTAAAAAAATAATGATTACACATTAAAAAAAATAAATATAATAATCAGGCTTGACCTTACCCCTTGAATTCACAGAAACAAATATAGTTAACAGGAATTTAAGATACCTTGCGCTTTAATATTGAAAGATGAAAGGTCAGTGCTTATCACAAAAAAAAAAAAAAAGAAAGAAAGAAAGAAAGAAAATGAAAGTTAGTTTTCTTTGTTTATTTTTCTGATACTAATGCAACCAAAAACTGCAATGAAAGGACGCGAAACAATACGTGCCCGCAATCGAAAATATCTCTACGCTCTCAAGGTGGAGAGTAATAAATTATAAAATTAATGCCTACTTAAAAAAAAAAAAATCGCGACAGATGAACTGAAAAAAAAAAAAATTAGACAATCCAATCACACGCGACCAAATCTACTAATTTTTGCTATCCTCAATAATCCAAAGGAGACGAATAGTGGAGTCATTCTAAGTGAGATTAACAACTTCAAAGAGTCACATGTATATTAATTTTCCTATGGCCTTTTTTTTTTTTGGAATAATCTAAGATTCAACAATCAAAGTGATTACATATATTTATTTCTAGGAGTAAACACGCATATTTCCTCTTCATCCAACTTCAAAAGCCAGGTCGGCAGTTGGTATTTATACTTTTTTTTTTGCGATTATAAAAAACTGTTGTTTTTCGTACCCCAAAAAAAAAAAAACTCCAAAGCCAAGATGGAGAAAAATTAAAGACACTCCACTTGAGAGTTCATTCAATGGTATAATTAGCAAGACCGTCAGCACATTGCACAAACTCCCTATACATAAATTAAATAGACCAATTCCTATTGATCAAAACATTAGCTTGATGCAGCACAGATGGTTTCCACTGAAGTCTCTAGTGATGAGGGACAATCTAATACTACCTCCGCATTCTCGAAACCATTGTTCCAGCATGCCGACAACTCGTGAATAATTGCTTTCACTTCTGTGATGGACAAGGGGGAGGGGCACAGTTTTAATACTAAACCCATATATCCATCTACCATCATTCTTTCTAACTGCACAACCACAAGCACAGTGTCCCTCCTTACTAACTGGCCCATCTGTAGATGGTTATAATCTTGTCTTCTTCGCCATCCTTTCATTACTCTGTTAGGGATACCACTAGCAGAAAATAATCTACTAGAATGCATTAACTAGTAATCCATTTAAGTCTGAACAACTTTGCGTTGCAGTTTCATTAGCAAAATCCTCTTCAATACCAAGCAACTCTTTCATCTATTGGTTAAAAGAGATTAGTTCATGGTTCCTTTTTGGCTCACAAATCTTTCCCAAAATTCTGGTGACATGAGCTCCTACCATTTCTCTTTGACTTAAGTTGGTGCAATAATGATTCTTCAAATTTGCATCCAAAAGGCATATGTTGCTTTCACGCAATCCCCTCTATGACCAAGTTCTGTTGTACGTACTTTGGTATGGGATGCCAACCAAAGGAATGGCTTGATTTTTTTCAGGTACTTTGCTCTCCAGATTCAGCTCCAAGAAGGGTAGCCTTCATCTCGTGTACCTGTAGGCAGAAAACAATAAGCAGAAGGAACAAAAAAAAAAAATGCACATTAGAAGACGGAAGCCATCTGTATTTATTTATCATTCTCTCTCTTCTCACTGTTAGTTCGAGTGCGAGTGATCATGTCAATGATTTCAGGTTGGAACCAAGTTCCCAGCTTGCAAAGATCCCAATCACCGTTAAGTAGAAACTAGGAATTATTCATACACTTTTTCCGTGGTATGACAGAAGAGGCTCAAAGACACATCAAGTCATCAACCTCCAATAAGGGCATTCTCATTTCAGATCACACATCGCTTCTGTAGCCTTTTAGAATATTTAATCAAAGGTTAATGTACAAAATTACTCTTTGAAGTATTTTCAAAGGTGCAATTGCTATCTTTAAATTTTATAGGTGCAATATTTCTCCAATATTTTAAAAATGAACAATGTTATTATCCAATTTTAACAAATCCAAATATTTAATCATTATAATATTTCAATTTAAATTTTAATAATTAATTTAGATTAATAAAAATTTAAAGATCTTTAGTTATGTACGTAAATTAGTAGTAAATAATTATTAAATCTAATTTAAGACATATTTAAATTAATATTTTTTAAAAAATTATTATCATCATCATCATTATTATGAGAGAAGAAAAAGAAATGTAAGAGAGAGATTAATAAAGTAAAAAAAAAAAAAAAAGGAAGGGGAAGGTAACGGATTATATTGTGTGCGTAGGTGTATAAAGTAAAAAAAAAAAAATGAAGGAGGGACTTTCATAGCGTAGGACCCACATAGTTTTAAAAACACACAACCCCTCTTCCTTTCATTTTCCCTTCTCTTCTCGTTTCCATACGTGCGCGCAGAGAGAGAGAGAGGGAGAGAGCGCAGTCGCCGGCAAGAGGAAGGCTTATTTTTAAAGGTAAGACTTTATAATACAATATTTAGAGTATTATTTTAAGTTTTTTAATATTATATTAAATATTTTAAAAATTTTTTAAGTCATTTATTTTCTTTAATTTCTGATTTGATGATGATAAAAAAATTTAAAATTTATAAGAGAGATAAATTTATATTGAATAAATATAGTTGTTAAAATGTTAGTAGTATAATAAATATTTTGGAGTATTAATTTATTGATGGGATTTGAGTTTGAGACTTATGAGTCACTTTCTCAATCCCTATATTAAAATATTTTTTAGTCAAATCATGCAAACTAGTACAAGTTAATTATCAAAGCACAACATCACATTTTAATTTTTACCTTTAATTATCGTAAATAAAAATAAATATTTTTTTAAAATTAATTAATGAGAGTACTTATCTTTTTTTTAATTTAATAAGAGTATAATGATCAATTCATTAAAAAATATGCTAATAACTTTTTGTATTTAGGGATAAAAAAAGATTCTAAAAAACCTATTATATTTAGGGATGAAGGAGTAAACTCTAGATTCTTATGGATAGATTTTTGTTAAATTTAAAAATATATATTAATTTATTGAGATTTAGATAATTATTTAAGATGAGAAATAGATCATAATGATTATAGAATGGTGATTCTAAACTTGAGATTACGTTTATATTTTTTTGAGTATTTTTATGTGTGCATTGATGAAATAAAAAAAATTAATAATAGAAATTAGATTAGAGGTTGATTTTAGTTTGTTAGTATTTATTGATGATTAAAAGAGGAGTTAAAAATTTTATTTGAAAGTACTAACTCTAGATTTATAATAATAATGAGATTAAAAATTATGTTATATTCTCTAATTTTATTATTAGAGTTATTTTTATTAGTTTCAATAAATTTTAAATAATATGTTATGTGTAGATTGTGTTCTTGGTGAAGATTATGGTGGAAGAGAAATTATAAAAAATAATTTATTAAAAAAGCCATGAGGTAATAATACTTTAATTTATAATTAGTGTTGTTTTATGTTAATTGTGTGATTATTCAAAAAATTGTGAATTGTTGTTGAGAAATTATTTTACTATGTTTAGAAGAAATTGTGAAAATTGTGAATATTTATTTTGAAATATTTTGTCAAGTGGGATGTTATATTGTAATATTGTTGAAAATAAAAAATTATAGAGATTGTAATGTTGTGTAATTGTATAATGTTGATATGTAATTATTTGATTCTTGTGGAAGGTGTTAGAAAACTTGTCATTATTATTACTATATTTTTGTATCACCCGGTACACCCCTATTATAAGCCCAATAGGTGGCTTGTAATTTACCTTTAACCAAGTAATTTAGTACTGAGTGAAGGTTACGGCTCGAGGTCAATAAAAGAGATAATGATGGTTGTTTGTCATTTATTACAACATTTCTTGTATTTTATTTGAAATTTTAGATTGTTATTTTCTCACTTAACAAGCACATATTTAATTGTTTGTGTACATTATCATAAATCGACTTTGGTTGCAAAAAAATTTTTAGTCTCATTATGTGGTTAAAAAAATTTCAAGAGAGGAGCTATGAGTGGCATGTGAAGGAGTTTCTTAGGCTAAATGGTATAGATCTTGTAACAACCCTAGCTCACCGAGGGCCTCTCTCCCTAGACTTTCGCCATGCTGGACACACCTCCCACTTGGCCTCACATAGGACGACCCCTGTTAAGAGAGCGTCAAGAGACAAAGTTTCTCCGTAGTAGTATGTGGGATTATTCTCTTGTGATAAATTTCGCAATAAGAGCTTCCCCAAGTTTGATCTTCCAACCTCTCTTACTGAATAAAATTGAGGCTAAACTTAATACCACTGAGCCAAGTTGGTGATGAAACAAAGCAAATGGCCTAAACAATTCGCACAAACATCATTGTCGACCCTGACACAACTCTAAGATAGAATAACACAAAAAAGTTTAAAAGAAACTCGAGCATCTGCTAGAACCATACTTAGAGCATAACCCTTACAGGAGGGGGGACCAACGTGGTTACGAACCACTTGGATAAAGCGCCTTACATGCAGCCTCATGGTTTCCGCTTGCAAGTAATAGCAATTATTGCTTGCAAGTAATATCACGGATAGCCTCAAATCCCTCGTTTCCTCATCCTTCCAATTATAAACATAAGCGAAGCAACCTACACCATGAAAACTTTGTTAGAAGGATGCAACATAAAGGAAATTGGACCATTTGGGATGAAACTAAAACCACACGCTTAGGAAAGTTGTTATGCAATTGCAAAAACCAAAATACACAAAAGACTGTGAACACCACCACAAACAACACACTAAAGTATCACCAAGCACCTGCACAAAGTGCACAAAATTTGAATTGAACAACCTAGCAAGAAAAAATAACCACATCATCTCAACCACAAAGCCAAAAAAATGACTTGGTGTCGAAGCAAATCACACAAGAAAAACTTACTAACAACAGTGACAACCAGTTTGAGAAAAAAATGGACTATCTGATTCCTTGAAACACACACAATAACACTAAACTGAACTTGAAAGGGGGAAAAAATAGGAAATGCACCCCAGAAACAATGCCTTGAGGTGTGAACACTGCACGGTAACCGACTGGGTGACTACTGTTCAAGTAGTATTGTGGCAGATGGTCTAAAGTTTGGCTAGGTAGTTCGATTCTTGAATTAAGAAAATAACCATTAAGATCAACTGGCCTATTAGCTCAGTTGGTTAGAGCGTCGTGCAATAACGCGAAGGTCACAGGTTCGAGACCTGTATGGGCCAATTTTTTTGGTTTTCATAAACATTTTTCTACGTTCAAACTGCAAAGCATATATTCATTCTGACCCTCGATCCCTCTATCGATATGGTTCTCCGCTTAATCGTCTGCACACAACACATTGGAAAATGGTTTTTTTTCTTTTTTTCTCCCGTTTATTCGCGTTTTTGGAATCTCGCTTGCTTCCTCTTTCCGATTTCCAGTTTGTAGTTTAATTATCTGATGTTGTGAATGTCAATTTGTTCAAGGTTTGCTTGGCATGTTTGTTGCCCCTCTTTCTCGTTCCAATTGTCAACATACTGCCCCTCCTATTTTATTATATCGTGGTATGTTTACCTTCCGCACTCATCTTCCAATTTTACGCTTTGGCTCTCTCTTTTCCTATCGCTTCACTGCTTTCATGATCTCATTCTCGCAGCCTAAGATTTCGGAGCCCTTTTTGATTGTTTTAGTACTATGTAGGATTAAAAGCTAGAATTGTATATGATAAATCATAAATCTATAAGGGCTAAAACTAAAAACATAGCAGGAAATTTTGGGATTCTTGATTCTTAATTGCTTCATCAAATTCTTGGTTCTCGGTATGCATACATCTTTAACTTACAATCCTTCTTTTCCCTTTGGTTCATTTATAAATTTTAGGGAAAATCTATGCTCTTTTCGGGTGGGAGTACAGGAAACCGGAGAGGGCTCCTCCAGCATGTCCGTACAAGCCTACAGCAAAACGGGATAGCAAAGTGAGTGAATGCCTGATTTTGTTCAGGCAATGTAATGGGCTAATTAAATTGATTCTGTATCCATCTCTAATTTTAGTTTATGTATTAATAAAACAATCAACACCTTTTCTATCAAGGTTAAGAGGCCGTTCTATTAAAACGAAGATAGAATTGGTCATCTTGTGAAGGAAATCTTTGTTGATTTCTAGTAATAGGAAGTGGCTAGTGATATTATCCCTGATCGTTGAAGTAACCATCTCATACGTAGATCGAGATAGGTTGTAACTATCTCTAATTAGTAGTTCACAAAGATAGGGCCAGCCAGGCGGGTCATGAACCCAAATTCTGTCCTGGCAATACAATTCTCAGCAGCAACTAACCCCCGGGGGGGGGGGGGGGAAGTAAAAGCTAAACTAGTCATATAGTGAAAAAGTTATCCAATTTTCTATTGACATAATAATTCATTCAATCTTTTATCGTCTTGATGCATGCTCATTAGAAATCATTTGATTTCGAATGGGAAAGGAAACATTATATTCATTAACTAAGATAATTTGTCTGATGTATTTGCATAGATAATTGATTATTATAATATAAGTGAAGTTATTGCTTCATTGTTGCTTCTCAGTAACTAATCTGCTAGTATTCTGATACACAAACTCCGAATTAGGTGGAGGCATTTCTTCTAAAGCAACTTTTGATTAAAGTAGGATATGAGATTCTTCATGCTCAGGAACAAGTTTGAAGTAACAAATGTAGTAATTAAGTATGACTTACGTGCTTCATGCCCTTGTTATAACCCTATTCATTTCAAGTAACAGATGTATCAAATGGCACACAAGTTTTATTCCTCTCAACATCTCTTTGTAGAGCTCTTACAGGAGATTTACTGTTATAAAAAGCAGCTGAGCAGGAATGATAGTTAAGGTTTCAACAGGAAAAACATATATTTAGGATTTTGTTGTGAATCTGAGAATCTCATCCCTGCAACCTGTAAGTCCATTTTTGTCCTCGAATAGATTTGTTGGGCGCACATGTCTATGATTGTCACAGATTGATATACTCCATGGGAATCTATGGTCCTTGTCCCAAAAATATCTACCTCTCTCCAGGTATTCTGTGTAGTCTCCGTGGTTGGTGTATGATGCTGGGTTCTGTATTCAAATCATAGGCGATCCTTCCTTTTTGTGTTGAAAGAAACTTCTTCCCTTTTTCTTGTTTTGGAAGATGCCACCAAAAAATGTGATCTAGAAATTGTAGTTTTGTCAGTGTGATTTCCAAAAAATAGGATTGGTCAAAGTTAAATGAGTGTCTTCAATTTTCTCTTTTTCCTCCCGGATTCAGTGTGTGCTTGCTTGTATGTATAAAATGGACACATCACCTCTTCCTGATAGCCATGAAGATAAAGGTGTAATGCAAACAAGTTTATGTAGTCAAACACTATAATATATCAATGGAGACACAGAATCTCATTTATCTCTTTTAACTGACAAGTGACAACCAAGGTATGGACGAGCTGAGGCTGCTGTTTGCTGTGATCTGGATTGTTAATGCACTATTAAGCACAATCCAGATCAAGGTTCTTACACGAAGTGAGAAACCTCGTGAGATATTGATGTGAACATCCCCATATTGTTAGGCAGGGATTTTGTAGCCAAAGCCACGTGTTTAGGAACTATGGATATTTTTGTTTGAGTTTTTTTCATTAAAGACAAGGTTGAGTTTATGGGCTTGTGGTTACATGAATTAGGACAGTTGGTTTTATAGATAAAAAATAATGACTTTTTTTTTTTTTGGTTTTTACCATGAGTATTTGCCCTTTATACCCTTCATTTGACTTTGTTGATAATGAATTGAGTTGTGCTGCAAGTTGCCATTTTGGTAAGTTGTCCGGTTTGTGTCTGTCTGATCACAGCGCACAATTTTAGGAGCCTGATTACCACCAAGAGGATGGTGTTATGAAGGGATAACTGGAAATTGGTTTTACGTGTTCTGTGATTTTTTTACTATATCTCGTGCAGATCTTTTCCCAGAGAAAGAAAATGTACTATTCAGCTTTTTATACATTCTGATCTGTGTATAGATTTGGCTTCTGGCAATCTCTCTCTCTCTCTCTCTCCCCCCCCCCCCCTAGCATTTTATTTTCGAAAGTCATGTATACTATGAAATCATCGCCTGGACTTTATTATGGATTCTGTTTTGGAAGTCTACCATGCTCATGGCATGCGTCTGGGAGTTTATGACATCTTGATTTTGAATATTAATAAACGCTTGTGTTAATATGTTTCATTTCACGGCTACCTTGCTCGTAAACTAAAATACACCTTCATTGTTTTTGCAGGTTGATGCAGATGCTGGACCGGCTCCAGTTGAACCTGTTGAACCTGGAGGAATAGATTCGAAGCAGGATTAAGCCGGGGTTGTTACTCTGCTATAAGGTTGGATTGGACGGCAAAAGTATGACCTCATTTACATGGTTTGAGACTGTGTCCGTAACTCTTTCTATTACTGGAAAAAAAAATGAATTTATATGAGGGCTAAGGTCGTTAATGTTATAACTTGGTATAAAGATGTTACGGTGAGTATTTTGGTTGTAGAGATTGTTCCCATCTGTTCAAATGGGCAGCCATCAGACTTCAGCTTCATAATTTAGCGACCGAAAATAATTCATTTATCTGTTTTCCTTCGTTAGTTGGGGACAGATGAGAATCAAACGCGTAAGACTGAATTAATACAAGGTGGATGAAAGCACATGTTGACAGTGGAGCAACGGCATATAAGTTGATTTAAACGTTAGTAGTTTCTATCTGCGCGCGCGCGCAGTATTTCTCAAAATAATGTACAATTCATTTGCGGAGAACAATTCTAGAATCATGCAAACGATGGCATTTCCGCATATGTAGGAGACGGGGTCAATTGGCATAATTTTATGTAGGGAGAATGATGGAGAGTTTTTAAAATAATCAATTAATTTAAGTTAGGTATCAAGTGTCAAAATTTAAGAATTTATTACTCAATTTTTGAATTTTACAATTCTATTGTAATGAATTTATAACTTGTATTTTAAATTTTAATTAAAAAATATTTTTTTATTCTTCAATCATATTAAAATTTTAAAAAAAATTATAAATTTATCACAATATAATTATAAAATTGAGAAATTGAGTTATAAATTTCTAACATTTAATACTTAATTTAAATTAATTAATTTTTTTGAAATTTCTTTATCATTTTTTCATTTTATTTGCCTTAAAAGTCGGCTTTGGCCTTCCTATTTCCAGTGCGGTCGTGAACAAGAAGAAGCCGTGTTTGGCTCACCGTGTAAGATTAGGGAGGATGGTATGGATTTAGGGCTTACACATAAAGATAGAATAGATATGAAGCTGCATGGCAAAAGTATGATAAGGGTGAGGGGTTGAGGACGTGGACTTGGAGGCGGCGGACTCCCTGGTTTAGTGGAGCTGTTTTCAACTTTGCAGAATAAACAAGCCATTTGCTTCCCTTTCAGAGAGAACCCACGAATCCATGCTGCTGATCCCGTGGGGCCCCTTTGCTTCCCTTCTGAATTCTGATTCTTATTCACGTCTCTTCCTCCTCTCTTTAGGTTTTCAATGGGAAAAAATATTCATTAAAAGACTATTTATCAAAAATCCGTTTGTCAAAAATTTATTTATATTTAACTGCATATTTTAAAAATTATGAAAATTGTTTGGATGATATGGGAATTTATGCCCTCATCTAACATTTCAAGAGTAAAAAACTAAATGAAAATATACGTTACCGAGTGGACTTTAGAGAAGAAGTGTGTATTTCATTTTCTGTCTTTGTCAAAAATTTATTTATACTTGGATATATTTTTTTAAAAAACGTTTTGTAAATTGAAAGTTGACTAGATAATATGAAAATCAGTTGAAATTAATTTCAATCCACATTCTAAACGTTAAAAGCTATCCAAAGCTGCATTTTTGAATTTCAAATAAACCTTTAGATCAGCGCAATAATAATAAATATCTAAACTGCAAAAAATATTTTTTAAATGGGAAAAGCTATAACCAAAAAAGATATCTAAAAGCATTGTAGTGATATGGGATCCACGCAAAGGACTTTTATAGATCCAAAGGCTGAAACCGGGCCCAGTCTGCATCATCAATTGAATTTCCACGCCGTGACTAGTTTTTCATTAATGTGAGCGTGTGGGGGAGAGCGGGCGTCCTTGTCACAAGTATTTTAAGAGCCCAAAAGATGGTTGTTTTGCAACGCTCTCACCCCAACATGCAAGCACCCAACATCTCATATACTATTTTGGGAGTATCTTATCTTTAATTTAATGAATGTTTCTACCTTTGTCCAAACCCAACAACTGCTCTTGCTAATCAATTCACGTCTTTAATTTCATGCTTGTCCTCCCAGTCATTCAATCATACAATTTTGACCCCCCGATTCCGCGCATTGACTTCACCTTACATTTTGTACTCAAATACGCTTGCCGCCCAAAATATAGCTGACACGTTTCAGACATGTTTTTCGCGAAAACCCTGGTATTCGACCCACATGTTCAGATGTCACGCCACATGACTTGGAGAAGTAAGCCGTGACAGTGGAATAATATATTAAAACCTCATATTCGAAACCAGTGTCAGTTGACTCAAATAAAAGCCGCCTGATATATTCAAAATTTGTAGACAGAATATTATATTAAAAGAGATACCACTGTTTAAATCAAAACATCATTCATTTATAAGATTCAAAGCTGAACAATAATTAAAAATCCTTTATATCTGGATTAGTCGATAGGATTAGAAGAATAAGGTCCAGTCAACTCTGATCAGTACTAAAACCAAAAGCATCCCTTTCAAGAAGAGAGTCAGATGGAAAGAAAAACGGTGCTTTTTTTTTTTTTTTTTCCTTCTCCCTGAAATACAAAGGACACAAAAAATATACAAAGAGAGTCTCTCTGCTCTCCATGGAAGAATATCCACTTTAGGCGAAAACCCTGACCACCAAGGCTCCCACTTTCCTAAGTGGCATTGTTGATTATACATGTAGAATAATATATATTGATATATCTGAAAGGGGCGACACGTGTTGATTTGGGCGTGTTTTTATTTTATTTGGAAGGAGGGGAAAGAAATGGAAAGAGGGAATATGACGTCATGGGATGAGGTAAGCATTGCGGAAATGGGAAGTGGGGTGGGCACCAGCCACAAGCACTGGGTGGTGGAGTTCGTGCTTTCCAGTTTTTGGGCAGAGACGCGTCAAAATGCTGCCCGCCCTGTTCCCACCCCCTCACTTGTCACTATCCTTCCCTTCAATTACCAATATTTGCAAATCCAGTTGTCTTTAGAGGGTTACCATTTGAATCACACAAATTAATTATTTAATTAAAAATATGATAATATTTAATTTTATTCTTAATTATTATAAATGAAAATAAAATTTTTAAAATAAATTAATGAAAATAATTATTTTCTTCTTTTTAATTTAACAAAAATTAATAATTCTTCATTAAAAAATATATTAACAATATTTTATATTTAGGGATAAAATAGGGATGGAGGGAGCAAGTTACAAGTAATAAATTACCAACAGTCCAATACTTGCATTTTTTTAAGAAAATAATTTTAATCTTTCAAAATTATCATACTCAAGCTCCTCGTTAATTTCTACCACGATTCATAACTGGGCAATCCCTCTGTTCAGAATTTATATGTTCTTCTCCCAGGCGTGATGAAGCGAGCACTCTGTGAAGTCCCTGTCAACTCGTAAATATTATATATATATATATATATATATATAGAGTTCAGGTTCCGGTTCTTGAAAAGAATAACAATAAAATATTATGAAAGCAAAGCGCTCACCAGTGCAACTGGTTCTGGCCTAACGTCTGTGAAATTGGTATATTCCATCATCGGATTCTTTATTGCCACAGATTCTAAGTCTAATTTCCAGGCCCACCTCTGCCCCACTTCCCCAATTAGTTCTCTCTCTTTAAAAGCAAAAATTATTGGTAGCCCGCCATCCCTGACTCTCCCGATGTTGCCTTTATATTATATACACTCACGTTCCTTTATTTAATTTCGTAAATCTTATATTCCACCTCAACCCACCTGTTTATAGCTAGAATTAAAAATAAAGGCTGTAGTTAGAGAATCATCCGTTTAAATTTATTTTCATAACGGTTTGGGCTAAAAATAATATTTTTTTAAAAAATTGAGCTTTTAAACTCAACCCTGATAGACTCTAAAAAATGGATTTGAGTTCGGGCTGCCCTTTAAGATTTGTTTTTATTTTTCTCTAAAAAAATAAAATTTTTAAAATTTTTAAATTAATTTAAACTTTAAAATATATATTTATACTTTAAATTAAAATTTTTATTATTTATTGTTAATTTTTAAACATTATAATTTTATTTTTAAAAATATAAAAAAATATTATAATTAAAAATTTTAGTTTTTAAAAATCCCAAAAAATAATAATAAAAGTTTACGAGTCCAACCCTAAACTCTTTATGTAACAGCCAAACTTTAAAAAATTAAGTATTTTAAAAAAATCAAATTTAAGGGTTGCCCTTAAGGGCCGGGCCTATATGAGTCGAATCCGCTCATTTTTTAACTCTATTTATTGCTTGTAAATTCAACCTACGAGTAGTTTTACACACACACACATATATTTCTACAGTTAAATCTTCACTGTACCATAATTAGTCAATTAATATCATTGAAATAACGTGATTATTGAATTTCTGCCGCTAAGCAATTCTTTTTCTGCTTTACATAAATCAAGAATTTTAAGTTGATACATGCAGAGTATATACAGCATGTATTGATAAGATAAGACCCCCAAAGACGTGGATGTGTTGGGGAGCACCGGCATGAGTTGAATAAAGGAGGCGAGGCTGGGGATGGGTGGGTTGCTCCTGGGTGTCCGTACAGGAGCCCATGAAGCTTCCAGGAAGAAGCACCGACGTAGTATTATGATGATGATGATGATTTAAAAATATAAAATATTTTTAATTAAATTTCACTTTTAATAAAATAATTTTTTATTTTTAAACTCACTTTATTTTTTATATTTATTTTTATTAAATATCTTATAATAAATATAAAGTTATTATTTATAGAGATATTTTTTTAAAAAAGATAATAATTATATTTTAAAGAATTAAAAATATTTAATATTTTTAAATATTTAATTTTTTTTAAAAATATTTTATATTTTTAAATGAAGAGAGTGATAATAATAATGCAAAACAGAGAGTAATTAAAACTGAAAAAAAAAAGTAAAATGTCAACATCGCATCAGAGCAGGGGAGGCAAGCAGAGGAAGCCGGAAGGGTAGAAATCAGAAATGCACAAGGACGGGACATCCACTCGTGACTCACCCAACCCTTTTCATACCTATCATTTTTTTTTTTTGGGTTCAATCATGCCTGTCATTTATTTCTTACAAAAAAAAAACTTGGAGTACGGAATTTATTCCTAGAAAAGGCTTCAATGAGCACAATATTAATCGGTTTCTCTATCTGAAATTAATTATGCACATTCTAATTCTAATTCTAAATTCTTCATGTACCTCGTGAAATAAGAAAAGGATTTATGATGTCGCCAATTTTAACACCGAACTCCATATGCGATTCCCCACGTTTATACGATTAATGATAACGTTGGGAAACAAAAAGATTGATATCAATAGTGAGTACCATATTATATATATATATATATATCCCCCAAATCCTCTACCTCCCTCTCAACCAACGGTCACACCTGCATCCCTTTCGTGGAATCTATATGTGGTGGGTGCCTTAACTCTTAATTTTTCTTACCTAACAAGTATTTCATGTGGTCTTATATAAATTGTGGATTTAATCAACTGGTTGTCAAAATACAGGCACAAAATAAAAGAAAGAACATTAAGTCACAATTTTACCTTTTGTTGTGCCATGTATCTTAATTCAAGGGTTGATATAACTATGGAGGAATAATTGAAAGGTATTTTCATAAAATCATCGCCTTTAACTCATCGTTTTATTAAACATAAATTTTCAATCATCTATAAAATCATATAATTGTAATGCAGACACTCTCTAAATGAGAGGATTTGAGATACCCACAGAATTCAAATGCTTTTATAGGAAAGGATATTTTAAGTTTAAAGTATTTATTTGGTTAAAAAAGAAGACGGTATAAACTATAAAGTAATTATCATTACCATAATAACAATGATAATGATGACAATAATAATGAGCTGGGTTAGAAGGATCGGGTGGCAGAAATGATATTTTATAGAATGATGCGGTCGTCGGCTCGTCGCTGTGCATCTATTATCAAGTGCGGAAATAGTCAAAACACACGAGATTGATAAAATGGAAACTCCAAGTGGGGGAAAGTATCGACAACGGATCCAAAGGCTCCATCACCAACCGCTCAAACATAAGCGAGAGAGACGCAAACCTCTGCCTCTCCCCTGTATCTTCTCTGCTCCTCCATCTGTGCTCGCACTGTAGAAAAAAGTTCTGCGAACACCTCATATTCCTCCCAGATTGTATAGTGTCAAATATCTTTAGAACTCTACCCAGAAGAACCAGTAGCACCCCGAGAACACTATGGGCATTTTGCACGACGACGTGGTGATTATTAGGGAACCCGAGAAAGAAGGCGACCCAACCGTTATTACTGTGAATTGTCCTGACAAGACTGGCTTGGGTTGCGATTTGTGTCGCATCATTCTCTTCTTCGGACTGAACATTGTCAGGGGAGGTAACTCAGTTTTCATATTCCTTTCACTCTTGCGCTTAAACCATTCTTACTCTTTCTTTTCCTTTGCTTAGACCCTCCAACAAGTTTCTGGAAATAATGGATTTGGATTCCATTTAAATAAAATTAAAAAGAACCGTTTATTTTTCTTCTTTGTTTTGGTTGTTGCTATCGATTTGAGAGCTGGGAAATATGGTTGTGGGCTGCTTTGGGTTAACCGCCCGGTGCCTGCTTGATGAAACCGACGTAAATTAGAAAATCAGTGAGCGGTATTTCATTTTGGATTCGACCCTGCGAAGCAAGTTTCAAACATGTCAGACTGATCCTCTTTTGTTTATTTTGATGCAACGAAGACGTATCAACCGATGGGAGATGGTGTTACATAGTATTCTGGGTGAATGGGAAGCCAGAAACGAGGTGGAACTTGTTATTAAATAGGCTAATTGCTGCGTGCCCATCTTGTTCTTCTGCTTCCGGGATTTCTTACTACCGCTCTGAACCACAACCTCCCAAGCCTCCGGACGTCTTCCTATTAAAGTTCTGTTGCTATGATCGTAAAGGGCTTTTACATGGTAATTTTTAGAACTTTATTTTCGAATCCACATCTTGAATTATCAATCTTCTGGTTGTTGTCTTGCTGATTGTGAATCGGGACTATTATTGACTGGTCCTAGACGACTTCCTTCTTAGCAGTTGATATCATTCCATTTCTTTTCTTTCTGCTTCTCGACAAATCTGTACGTTTTCCAATTCTATTTCCTTACTGTGTATTGTTTAGGGAATAAAGGGGGGGGTTGCGCTGCCTGAATCTACAGAACCTTCCTGAATATGTTGGTGATGAATTTTACACGCAAATAATTAATTTTTTTTATTACGGTGACAGATGTTACAGAGGTTCTATGTGAACTGGAGCTTACCATAAAGAAAGTGAAGGTATCTACCACACCCGATGGAAAAGTGATGGATCTGTTTTTCATCACTGATACCAGGTTGGTGACCGCCTTATGCTGTCATTTTCTGCCCCCTTGTTGTTTCTTCATTTCAATTACTCCAAAAGAATCAGTCCAATGCAACTTTTTGCAGACTTGTATAGTGATCCCGTTCTATCCTTTAAAAAATTCTGCATCTGTTCAAGGAAATGCGGTACAAATTTTCCGGTGTCTTTTAAATATTTGATGGTTTTCTCCAGAAGATTTGGGATGTGATTTAGGACAATTTGAAGCAAAGTAGCTGTGTACAAAATGACTATTGGATGACAACTCAGTCTCTTATAGCCTTTTAGTGTTGTAATATTTCGCTTTTATATCAGGGAGCTTTTGCATACAGAAAAGAGGAAGGAAGACACAATTGAACAGTTGAGGGCCATAATGGGGGATGTCGTAGTTAGTATTGACATTGAATTGGTCGGCCCAGAAATCAGTAGTTGCTCTCAGGCATCTTCGTTCCTTCCAACTGAAATCAGAGAGTATGATTTTGACATGGAATTGTCTGATTCAGTCAGAAGTGCAACTCTCACATCCGAGAGTGTTTCTATCACGATGGACAACCTGCTGAGCCCTTCACTCACGCTTGTCCAAATCATTTGCCAAGATCACAAAGGCCTTCTTTATGACATAATGAGAACTCTCAAGGATTACAACATTCAGGTACATGCGCTAAATCTGAAAACACAATATTCTTGAAACATGATTATGTCTTCAATCTTCTCTGCATTTGACAGTGTCCCAGTTTTGTGGATAACGGCATCTATTTAATATCTGTATGAATCTAATGGTGTAATGGTGAGGCAGATCTCTTATGGGAGGTTCTCAATAAAATCAAGAGGAAAATGTGAGATAGACTTGTTCATAATGCAAGCAGATGGGAAAAAGATACTGGACCCTAACAAGCAGAGGTCCTTGTCTTCTCGCCTCAGGATGGAGCTGATTCGTCCTCTCAGAGTAGCGGTGGCAAGCAGGGGTCCTGATACGGAGCTTATGGTGGCAAACCCTGTGGAGTTGTCTGGCAAGGGAAGACCTCTTGTTTTTTATGACATTACTCACGCTCTCAAGAAGCTTGGCATCTGCATCTTTTCGGTACTTACATCCTCTCTATGCTCCAAAACAAAAGTGGCGTCTCCTTTATGTGTTACTCATACTGGTTCTTTACTATAGAATAATATAAATAAAATGAAAGTGTTGAACAGGCTGAAATTGGAAGACATGCGATTGGAGACCGAGAGTGGGAAGTATATAGAGTTTTGCTTGATGAAGGGGAAGGCTTGAGCGTTGCGAGGAACAAGATTGAGGAAGGAGTTTGGAGAATGTTGATGGGTTGGGAAAAATGAACCATGCTTGCCGACGCTGTCCCTTTTGGAAGGACCTTTATATGTACAGTAGTGTAATTTGGTCTGCCACTATATAGCTATCGTTAGATGTAATTGTGAAATAAATGTTGTGAAAATGTTTAGAATTTGATATAGTTTTAAAGAGCTGCTGTATTTTTCTAACATGGTGTACAGAAATGAGTAGATAAAGGAACAACTAGATTAAAAAGGGCGGAGTACAATACAAGAAGCTTATTGTAGATGTAAGTGAACTGCTGTAACTTGGTAAATACAAGTTAATGCATGTATTCAACTCTTTCTTCTCCCTGTAGTCTATAATATAATTTATGCACACACACATATTGCTAATAACCTGGTGCTTAATCTGTCCGCGACCAGTGGCGCTAGTTACACCATCTTCATTGATGGCACTTATGTGTGACGGTCTATATTTGCGGCTGTTCCTGAAGTACCCTGCATGTGATTGTTAAGGGATCCGTTGTCCGCATAAATGACTGTCCAGACTCAAAGATTTGTCCAAGATTTGATTGCTCCACTGTCGTGTGGTCCTCGGTTTCATAAACAACGATCGAGGATGTTAGGCCTCCAAAGTTCCAATTCCAAAGCTTTCATTTTCAGATTTAAAGAGGGTGTTGGGGCTTAGACTTTGGCCAGTTATCTCCTGCCCGTGTGGACGTCAAATTACAGACTTAAATTCTTTGAATGATTATTACATGCCCCAAGATGATTAATCCTCCGTGGTTGTTTGCCTTGAGATATTTTACGCGACGTCCCACTGGTCATGGATTGTGATTGCAGATATATTCTATCCGTTCTAGTCATCCCGTGTAGAGTTATCGACTGCAAACACGCCAAACACAGATGTCCAGGTGCAGTTCATATTACACGCTGTGGATTTTTTGTTTTTTTTTGAATTTGTTGACAATAGGGAAAACCTCTCATAAGGTGGTGTGACCTAAAAAATTCTCCTCGTTTACATCAGGATCTCATTTTTAAAGATTTTCTGTCTGTCATGGCGTTTGTCAGCATCAAAAAAGAAGTTTGACATGGACAAGATTCCTGGATGTTTTTGACGAAAAACAGTGCTGCTCTATTTGATGTAGTTGCCATTGACAGTTGGACACGTTTTTGCTCTTCTCCGTTTTTCTTTTTCCCCATTTTCCAAGACAGTTGTCTTTTGAGTTGTCCTTATTTTTGTCCATTTCAACAGGTGAGGAGACCTAAAAAAAAAAAAATCTGTTGACATTAATCATGATGCAGAAGAAAGAGCAAGTTTGTTTATGATATTTTTTAGGAAAAATATCGGGGAGCACCCTTGTGTAATTTAATCTCAGTCAAGATTTTTAAAATTTTTAAAATTTCACTGCATGTATAAAGAATTAAAATAAAATTAAAGAACTGATTAAAATTTTATTGACCCCTATGAAATTAAGTATATGAATAATTCATACAAAAAAATTAATAACTAATGCATGAAAAAATGACTAATTGATATAAATAAAATTTACAACTCTTATTAATACCATAACATTACTATAGATTGACAACTCTCATTCCATTCACATTAATTATTCATTCTTCATATATAAGTTGCTCATTTTTTTACATAAATTATTTATACACCTAACTTTACTTATTTATATTCATAATAATGTTATGTTGTTAATGGAAGTTGTAAATTCCATATGCATCAATTGTTCATTTTTATACATCAATTGTTAATTTTTCTCTATAAATTGTTCATACACCTAGTTTCATCAAGGATAATAAAATCATTTTAATTAACTCTTTAATCTCTTGTATGTGTAGTGAAATTTCAAAATTTTTATGGTTTTGACTGAAATTAAATCAGCTCATTGGGTCCTCATTGAAATTTTTCCTATCTTTTACACTTGGATTTAAGTGGACCATGCGATTTATCCCTGAAAAACTACGAATAAATCATACTCCCTGCCTTCGAAAATCTAAAGCATTTTTTTGGAGGGAATAGATATTTAAAATATAAAATATTAGTATTTCAATAAAAAGTATGCATAATAAATAAATAAATTTGTATTATTTTAAAGTGAAATTCTCTATTAAATAAATATAAATATAAAAATATAATATTAATTTTTAAATAATTAACTATTTTATTAGAAGACATAATTTAATTAAAAATATTTTATATTTTTTAACGAAGGAAATACCCTTCTTCGTGTTATCTTTCGCAAATTGGGAACGAGATCTTCTCATTGTCTCATTTCTTAGTTTCTCTCTGAAAATCCTATATTTATAAATAATTCATCAATCTATAATGTGCCACGTCTCAAGGATTTTTTTTTAAAAAAAAGAGAATGGCTGTAAAGTGATAAAAAAAAGAAATTAATGATAATTAAATCTTGATAAAAATTTCTGCAAAATGAGTTATAAAAATTGATTCCAACAATTATATTTAAAAAAAAAAAACCATTGTCACTAATGGCCAACCCCTCATCGCCGGCTATAGAACTACTGGTGACAATGAAGCAAATTTATTTTTCAAAGTGATCAAGGAAGGATTTGATCCTATAATCCTTGACCACCTAAAAAATTTGGTGGCCACCAAGCCTATTCAATTATATATGGTAATATATATATATATATATACATACTTCCTTCGTTTAAAAATATAAGGTATTTTTAATTAAATCTCACCCTCCGATAAAGTAATTACCTACTTTTTAACTAATCCTATCTTTCTTTATTTATCTCTATTAAGTACCCTATAATAAATATAAAATCATTATCAATAGAAACACTTTTGAAAAAAAAAAGAAACAATGATTACACTTTGAAATATTAAAAATATATTTCATTTTTAAACATTTAACTCCTTAAAAAATACCTTATATTTTTGAACGGAAGGAGTATATAGTAACCCAAGCTTCTAAACCATTTCCATATTATAATATAATGGTATGTCGTTAATTTCAAATAAGTTATTTTTAAAACACGAATGAATACTTGTTAATGAAATACTATCACTTATATAATCAAGTTCATCTTATCAATTTTTTTAACTTATCAAAGCTAAAATATATTGTCAAAATTTGAATGAATATTTGTTAATAAATGACTAACAATTGCACAATTAAACTCATCATATCAGTTTTTTTAATTTGTTAAAACCCAAATTGATTGTTGTTAATTTTAAATGAGTTGTTGTTAAAACTTGAATAACTTATTTTTTATACAGGATAAACACTTGTTTCATTAGACTCGTGTCATTATTCATCAATAATAAGTATATATCCATTTGAGTTTTGACAATAACTCATTTAAAATTAATAATAAGTAATTTGAACTTTAACAACAATTCATTAGACTTGTGCTGTCAATAATCAATAATAAATATACATTTAAGTTTTGACAACAACTTATTTGAGATTTACAATAATTTATTTAAGGTTTAATAAATTAGAAAAATTAATAGGATGTACTTAATTGTATAAATGTTAGTTTTTCATTAATAAGTATCTATTTTAATTTTGACAAATTCATTTAAAATTAATAGTAATCCATTCGAGTTTTAACAAGTTAAAAAAAACTAATATAATGAGCTTAATTATATAAATATTAATTTTTTATCAATAAATATTCATTTAAATTTTAAAACAACTTATTCATGTTAACAATGCCTTTAGATTATACGAATAATTTGACAGAGATATTAATGCATTGAGAATGCACCAGTACTTTTACCCGGATCTCTGAAACTTTTACCCGGTGGAGTTTCCTTGAGCATATCACATGAATGTTTTATTTTTTTTAAATTTATTTTCTTTATATTTTAAAGTAATACCAACACCTCACACGTTTCGTTGGCACTTCACCGAAGTAATACTTGAGGGGATCCATCTAGCTAGATTCATTTCTTTCATATCATAAAACAAAGGAACACTTGCATGTTATATCGATTGATACACTCCTAGCCACGCACAACACGGAAATATAATACAGTAACAAGCCAGCAGGAATTTCCCTGGAACAAATCTCAAGACATTCTCAACTCTATCCTAGCTTCTTGACTTACAGCTTCCAATAAATTCCAATTCTGTGGCATATTCCGGCAATCACAGCCCAGAATGTGATCTCTGCAAATATGACATATAAAAGGGTTCCCACTCTCTCTGAGCGCCACACATCCACGAATACATGCTTTTGAATCCAGTGTACCTATTTCATTACGTCAAATCTACTTAGCTTCTACTTCAAATAAAAGGGTTGAAATTTGCACCATGAATCAAGGGACATTGATGGTGCCTCTTACCAGCGAGTGTTTTGGCTCTTTATAATACCATCCGTTCACAAATGCAGCGAAGATGCCCTGAGCTGCCATGACATACACCAGCATTGCGTTCAGGCCTATCCACTCCAAGAACAAGAATGGAGTCCGAAATCCCCAGACATCGATCTGCGTACGAGGGAGAGATTGAAGCAAAGTGACAAGGTCGAAGTTTCTCTATTTAATTTTTCAGAAGCGAAAAGTAATGCTTTTATTAGTTACCAGCAAGTAAAAGCCAGAGAACACAATTCCAGCTGCGCCGGCTGTGAAACAAACGTAGCTGAAGCTGTAGAGTTGCTTGTTCAGTGGGATAGCTGCATTATTCCATGTAAAACTTTGTAGGATCCATCGAATTTATTTCAAGAGGTACGTAAATGTCTCAGTAGCTTACCATCTGTGAAATGAAGAATTATGGCAACCACTAGTAACACGATCGCCATGGAGACCCATTGCTTGAGCCTTTCTGAATGACGCTGCCCAAATGTTCATGTTTGTGTATGTTCAATAACTTGCTCGTACATAAAATATGTGATTTATTGGTGAGTAGGGAAAAGTCTGTAACCTTAAAGTGAATCAATACGTGCCCATAATGGATGCCGATGGTGCCAGAGAGGATAGCTGATATTGAACTAATCACAAGGAAAACAACTATAAAATCGATGTTTAATTGATCAACTACATCTAATGACTAGATTCTTATAAAAGTTTTTCACTCTTATTTCCGTTGTATCCCCAAAAAAAAAGTTATTCACTCTGGTTTTTGGAGCGAGCGGGAAAAGAAAATAACCTCAACAAGCCTTCGGGTTCAAAGGGAGCATGACACCAAGCTGGAGCATCATGACGAAAAGGACCTTGAGCAGGAGAGCTCAATGTGCAAGCCTACATGCATAAAAATAGAGAATTAGAAGGAGGGATTGAAATTGTCTGACCTTAAACAAAGGTGTGTAGAGGTGTGCAGGTGTTGATGAAGAGGGAAATGAAGAGATATGGTTCTTGACATATTCAAATTTACAAGTTCACCTTCAAGCGAATCCAAACAGGCTGAGAATAGAGATGATTGACCCCCCAAACTTGTCGATCCACGTATCCCACAGCGTTACATGCAGGCCCCACGTGTCCTCTCATCCCGCAAATCACCTAATAAATCGGAAAAATAAAGAAACAAAATAAAATAACACAACCACCACCAGAAAATACATGCGTCGTGTGTCTCCGGGAGAGAGAGAGAGAGAGAGAGAGAGAGAGAGAGAGAGAGAGAGAGTGTGTACGGTGTATTTCTTTGGTTCGCCTTGACTATGATCGACGAAACTCCAATCCGGAACATAGAGCGCGAAGGTCGTGACCATGTAAATGATGAACGCCACAAAGCCCCCAATCCTAGGCCATGCATTTCAGTCAAATTCGGGATATAAATTTTAGAGCCTGAAGTTGTGATGAATGCGGAAACGTGATGTGTTCTTACCATTGCCATCGATAGGCCGTAAAAATGGAGAGGTGTCCAGGGCTCAAGGTGGTCGGTCTAAGCTTGGTGGTGATTGTCTCTATCAGAGCTACGAAACAGTATACAAGCGCTATTCTCTGCACTCATATTAAAGTGGCCATTCAACAAACCAGAAAATAGAATCACATGGTGTCCTTGTTTAATTTATAATTTCCAAACCTGGAGAATGCCACACCACCGGATGAATTTCATGTCGACTCCATAGGAAAGATCATCAGGAGCATGAGAGTATCCGCCTGTAGTGTTTTACATGCGTTCTCATATAATCAGTGCATTTAACGGAGCATGTTCTTTATTCAAAGCTTATTACACTCGAGGACTTCTTATTTATACCTTGCAGAAGAATACCCCAAAAGAGAAGCTTCAAGGTCCTAAGGATTATCTTTTTTACCGCATCCTTCATCTTGGGCACTCTCTGTGTATTAATTCATTGTCACGGCACAATATTTATCACTGATATGTTTTGAAGAATTTAATTGTTCAGACTACGTGAATGAGCCGCGACAGTACTTGTCCCCAGACACAATATTGCCAAGTTGTGATTCGATCACATAAATTTAGGCTGATGCGGTTTGAAGAAACGCGTGCATATATAGTTCTGACTTTGGAATATAAAACGAGAGAGTGAGGGAAAATTAACAACGAGTTTACCTTGAGAGCAAGGGCTACGGCAACCCCGACAATGAAAAGAAAGAAAGGCATGACAAAATCAGCCAATGTACACCCATTCCACGGGGAGTGATCGATTCGAGGATAAGCTCCACCAGCATCGTCCACCAGTATCATCAACTAAACCGAAACATACTTCAAAGCCACGATTGAAATAATATATATATCCCATGAATTAGAACAGGTAGACTAACCACCACGGTGAGGCCTCTGAATGCGTCCAAGGTTGCAATCCTCTTTGGCTTCTGCTTCACGAGCGGCTGCTCCTGCTGTATTTGCCGAACGGTGCCATCACTCTCCACCAGAGGTGCTCTTGCGTCTTTCTGATGGTCGGGCTCATCTTTAATGGAGCCCTTCAAATCATGGTTCTCATCCGTATTCCGTAGCCCTTCTTCCATTCTCTTAGCTTCAACATCCATGGCTACTTCAATATCAGTCGACGCCCTTCTCTCCGTAGAGTCAAAAGGTATCCAGAGAGTACTGGCAATAAATAATTGGCTCGCACAGAGTACTGGCAATAAATAATTACAGAGGGAGCAACAGAGTAAGAGGCCGGCCGAATTGGCTCGCACTTCATATTCATTGATGTGGGGTGGGACATAACATATATAGAGACTCTGGTGCTCACGGATTAATTAATATTAACACAAGAGAGAGGAGGCAGATTAAAGGCTTCTTTCATGAACACTAAAAGGCGGAACATGGCCCACCACGTGATTGAATGCAATATGAAGTGATCGATCGTGTTAGATTAGAAGTAGTATAGTTCAGACTTCTGAGTCTGGAATTAAAGAAACAATAAACAAACAGAAAAGAAGCCTCTACCAAAAAAAGAAAAAAAGAAAAGAAAAGAAGCTAGTTGGTTTTTACTATTGGATAATCTAATCCAGCCCGTGTTTTGTTTCTTCTTGTCGCTGGCTAGTTTCGCAGTCTCTAATGATTAATTAATGATCCATGTGTGTGTCTCATTTCGAATCCTAAAATTAGTTTTGCTTTTCGGTTAGATAGATGATCACAAATAAATGTGTAGTTAAATAGCGGAGCAAACCAAACTGCGTGGACTGGGACGATGTTGGGCGGGGCCCACCTTATCTCTTTCCCCTTACCCTACATAGGAGTCGTGATGTGCCGGGGCATTCGATTTCATAGTTCTTGCCAATGGACAGGGCAGGTCACGTCACGCTCATTAATAAATATTGAAATTGAAATTATATACAAACCATGAATATATCATATACTACCTCCCCCTCAATAAATAATAGTAATCCATAGTCAGGCCCGGAAGTTGTAGGTTAATTGGTGCAATTTTATTAACCATTAAAAAAAAAAATCCACTGATCCCTGCATTTTTCTGTCCAGCCTGCTTGTTTGGTCATGCAGTGGAGGAATCCCACCACCAATCTTGATCATACGTCGCTTGACATCGTAGTAGCAGCAGCATAACAACAAACAACAACAACATCAGAGCCTGGGCTAAACTTTAAGGCGCGCGAAGGTCGCGTGAGTGCTAATATAATCCATATTCCTACCATGATTTAGAGGAAAAATAATCTTAATGCCTAAATTTGACGTTAATTCGTAAATCAGTCAATGAACTTATCTTTTGGAAAAGTGCTACTCAGAATATTTAGTTTTGCGGCAAGTGTCACATTTAAAAAAATTGGAAACATTTAGGAACTAATTAGACAGTTTCCTGTATATTGGACAGGTTGGATTTAAAAAATTTGAAACAAATATCTTGAATATTATTGATATTGACATATTTAAAATTGTTAAATTTTTACAAGACCTCCTATTTAATTATTTTCTTTCTTTTTAAATAGTTCATTCATACACATCTTATCTTTATTTTTCAAGTCTATAGTAAATTACCATAGAGTTTGAAATGATTGAATTTTTTATGATTCCATCATATTTGATTAAGGCACGAAAACTGTTGGATAAGTATTCTTTTATTTAAAAAAATGATGCAAAAAATGTGAATTATATACTTCTTTATATTTGAAATATATACAACATAATTATATTTCTTATTTTGATTTCATGTGAATAGCGTATTGTTAAAAAAATTATAACACGAATGTTTTTTCTTTAAAATTGTATATAATTATATGTCTAATAACTTAAAAGTGAGAGAATTAATCTTTGTAAATTATTAAGGTTTGATATAAGAAAATTGTAAGTAATAATATAGATAAACACTCATCAACAATATGAAAAGGTTCTCTAAATTGATATATTTTTATTTCATTTTGTGATAGTGGAGTGCAAGATAATTTTCTATCATTCAATACAAATGACAACAAAGATGCTTGCCAAGAGATACAACAAACTTCCTTATATACTCAAGTCCATTCCATTGTCACTCCATAAAAAAGTTAAGATAAATGGAGTTACTACTTTCGTAAAACTTAAATTTTATATTTAAAATTTAATAATAGAATACATAAATTTTTAAAGATAGATAGTAGAAAATATTGAGAGACACGAGATAAATGAAAAAGTTGAGACAAATAGAGTTACTGCTCCCGTGAAACTTGAATGTTATATTTAAAATTTAATAATAAGATATATGAATTCTTAAAGATAGAGACTGAAGAATATTAAAAGACGCAAGATAAATGAAAAGGTTGAAATGAATGGACTTACAACTCCCATAAAACTTAAATTTTATATTTAAAATTTAATAATGAGAAACATGAATTTTTAAAAATAGAGACTAAAAAATATTGAGACACACAAGATAAATGAAAAAGTTGATATTTATGGAGTTACTATTCCTGTAAAACTTGAATGTTATATTTAACATTTAATAATAAGATACATGATAAATAAAATGGATCAATGAATGAAGAGAATTAAAATTTAATCGAAGTTAATTGACCAATAACATTAAAAAAATTATCATCAATTAATGACTTTCTACTAGAGCCGGACAAACGGGTTCAACCCAATGGGCCAGCCCGTTAGCCCATAATTTTTTGCAGTTTGGGTTAGCAAAATGAGCCCGTTATAAAAAACAAGTTGGGCTAGCCCAACCCATCAAATTGTGCGGGCTAGCTCGCAAACCTACTGATTTTTTTTTTAAAATTTGTGAGTCACAGCTTGTTGGACTTTGGAGGCATGTGTGGACTGATGGTGCACAGTCCAGTCCACACAAGCCCAGTCCAAACTTCCAAATCCAATTTACACAAGCCACAGTTGACAGCAGTCCAGACGAGTAGATTCACGATCAGGATTCTGGATCACTACTCACGAGCACGACCCAATCTCAGAAAAGAAACACCACAGTCCGCAGTACCGCACAGGCGCACACACAGAGTTATAGACACAGTCGCACACGCAGACGGTAGCAAACGCACTCAGATCAGAGTCTCAATCTCTCAGACACAGCCGCAGAGATGCTCAAGCACGAAGTCGCGAACCCTAATGCCCTGAAGTCCTGAATTCACTCAGCTGATTAGTTCAGCTCTGTCGCTCTTCTATGAAGACTCTACTGTCTTCTCGTCTATCGCGAAGCCGCTCAACGCTTAAGCATAAAGTCGCTCAAGCTCTATCGCACTAGGCTTAAACCCCAGTGTAAAATCTCTACTGTCTTCTCGTCTTCGGCTTCGCCTCGTCAGCTCGTCGCCCTTCGGTCAAGACTTACAGAATCACCCTTCGCCCTTCTCTCATTCTCTACTGAACAGTGAACAAAATCTGAAATCGCCTCAGCCTTTAGTTGAAAAAAGTCGATTCTCCACCCATTCGCCTCATCGCCCTTCAGTCACGTCTTCTGGGACTGGTTCTGCCGACTTAGTCTCCTCCCTATCTCGGTGTCTCCTCTGCAGCTCTGCCTTCCTTTCTCACACTTGCAGTCTCACACTTAAAACTCAGCCACTCAGGTAAGCCGTTCCTCTATAGACTGTACCAGTATGCCTATATTGCTTATGATTTTATTCCTTGGTTTCATTAGTTTTCTTCAATTACTGAACCATAGATGATATATATGACTGGTTGTGGTTGGTCATTTCTGATTTATATAAATTATATATTCATAGATAAAATGTCTGCTGCCTTTCAAAGGATTGATTCTCTATATGATAAGTTAGATTTAGATGGGTCTGAAACTGATGATGAGTTAGAGTTAGGAAATACAAGTGTTGCTAATGTTGTTGGTCCGAACACTGATGATGGAGAAAGAGAGGGATGTGGTGACACTCGTGAGAAAAACAAGAAAAAAAGAAAGATAAAACAAGAAAGATCTGTTGTTTGGAAATCTTTTACTAAAGTAGTTGTTAATGGGATACCAAAAGCAAAATGTCATGGTTGTGGAATGTTGTACAAAATAGGTAGTAGATCACATGGCACTTCTACTCTTCGCCGTCATGTTCAAACCTGCCAACCTCTTACAAAATATCATGATGTTGGTGTAGTGATGTTAAATCATGAAGGAAAACTTGTTTCTAGAAAAATTGATCTTGGAGTTTTAAGAGAGATGCTTGCTATGGCTATTATTGAGCATGACCTTTCTTATTCTTATGTTGAATACAAATGGGTGAGGAAAATACAACAGTATTTAAATCCTGATGCAACTCCTTTTTCTAGAAAAACTGCTGTTTCAGATGTTAGGAAATTGTATGTCAATTAAAAAAGAATTTTGAAGCAAGCAATGATAAAGAGTCCTGGTAGGATATGTTTAACATCTGATTGTTGGACGGCAATAACTTCACAAGGATACATATGTTTAACTACTCATTTTGTTGATGACAAGTGAAGGCTGAATAGCAAAATACTTGCTTTTTGTAAAATGGAGCCACCACACTCTGGGGTGGAATTAGCTAAAAAAGTGCATGAATGTTTAATAGAGTGAGGAATTGATAAAAAAGTGTTTTCTATTACACTAGATAATGCTTCAGCAAATGACAACATACAAGAGATATTAACAGAGAGGTTGAGTTGGCAAAATAGGTTGGTATGCAATGGAGAATTTTTTCATGTGAGATGTTGTGCTCACATTTTAAATTTAATAGTTCAGGAGGGTTTGAAGGTGGCAAGTTCTGCCTTGCAAAAGATCAGGGAGAGTATTAAATATATTAAACAATCAGAGATGAGGACAATTACTTTCAAGAGGTGCATTGAGCAAGTTGGGGGTGTTGACACATCAATGGGCTTAAGAACAAATTGTCCCACTAGATGGAATTCAACATATGCAATGTTGAAAAGTGCGATTAAACATCGTCGAGCTTTCAATAGCTTTTCTATAATTGATAAAAATTACAAGTTTAGCCCTTCCAGTGAAGAATGGAGGAGAGCGAAGGAGATATGTACTTTATTGGAGCCTTTTGATGTGATTACTAACTTAATTTCAGGGACATCTTATCCAACTTCAAACATCTATTTCATGCAAATAGCAAGAATTGAAATCTTGTTGAATGAACACATGATGAGTGATGACCCCATGCTTCAAGAAATGGCAAGCAAAATGAAAGATAAATTTCATAAGTATTGGAGTGATTACAGTATGATTCTTGCACTTGGGACTGTTCTTGATCCACGAATGAAATTTAAAGTGATTGAAGTGATTGAACATTATTATCCTTTGATTGATCCTTTGCATGGCCATGCAAAGATTGAAACTATCAAGCGCAAGTTGATTTATATATTTGATCAATACAAAGAAGTGAGTGGTGCACCACAATCATCTCCAACTACTGAATCATCTCTAGGTCCGGGGTCATTAACATCAACTCATCAATCATCTATGGGTCCACATAACATTGTGGAGAAAAGGAAGGATGGAAAAAAAGCATTATCTCAAGCTTATGGTGTAAGTTTTTTAATTTCATATATCTATTTTTAGCACTTTACTTTAATTGATAATTTATTAACACTCATTTCAATTCAATACAGGATTTTCTTAGAGTGAAGATTCGTGATGCTTCTGCCATTACAAAGTCTGAATTAGATTATTATTTAGAATAAGCAACTCTTGATCTTAATACATTTTTGGAAATGAATGTTTTGGATTATTGGAAGAATAATCAACATAGGTTTCCAATCCTTTCAAAATTGCATGTGATGTCTTGAGCATTCCGATCACTACAGTAGCTAGTGAATCGGCCTTCAGCATTGGCTTGTGCGTTCTTACAAAGTATCGGTCTTCACTCCTTCCAGAGAATGTTCAAGCTCTTATTTGTACAAAAAATTGGTTGCTTGGATGGAATTATGATAGTAATTTATTTCATAATATTATATTTTATTATTGTTAATTTGTTTAACATGCTTAACTTATAATATATGTTGTTGATCTATGTGTGTGTGCTTGTGTGGCAGGTGAAGCTTCTGATGAGGAAGAAAATGATGATGGTGAAGTTGAATTAATTGTATCAGATGAAGATAATCATGCAGAACAAGCCTCCAATCTCATCATTAATTTAACATGAGCTATTTTGAGCATTATTTTCTTCACTCTTCACTTGAGTTTGAGTAGATTGTTAATTTGTTCTTTCATTTGAGTGGACTTTAGACTCAAAAAGTGTTGATTAATGATTGTTGAACAATTTAAATGAGGATGATTGTATTTATAATTTTAAATGCTTGTTAACTGAATTCAATGTCCTAATGTAAGTGGAAAAAATAATTTTAGTGTATTTATGCAGGCTAGCCCGTGGGTTGGTTAGCCCGTTATAAAATGGGTTGGGTTGGGTTTTTCAGCCCGTTTTAATTGGGCCAACCCGCAAAAAAACTAGCCCGTGCGGGCCAGCACGCGGTCTAGCCAGCAGCTCGTTTGCCCAGTGCTACTTTCTACAAGATTTATATATTGATATATTGATGTTGATGATACGCGATCATGCACACGCAGTGGGATAAAGGACGCATGTATATGGTTTAATCACGAAATGGGGTGCATGGATGGTGCACATGGAGAAGGGAAGGCAGCACTAACTAGCTATGTAATTTTCACAAATCGATGGTAAAAAAAGTTGTAAAGAACCATTGATTCTTTGTCAAGTCTCGAGTGACTTGATTATATATTATCGTGAAACCTGTCATATGTCACATTAGACATAAACAAGTTAAATTTATTGTCACAACTTCCATCAAAATTTCAGTAGTCTTTATTGATGGCTGGTTATTATAAATTATTTGTAGAGCAGAAATCCAATGCCTACTGGCTTTCTTTCTTTCTGTTGGGGGGGGGGAGTTAAAGAATCCTATTGATTTTGTTTTGCGGGCAGAAAACATAATGAGAAATCCTCCATTTCAATCACGGTCCAACTTATGTGAGCCCGACCCATAAAGATATAAAATCATCATTGTTACCAAATTTAGCAGCAATGCTGGAGCTATGGGTCGTTAGCGCAAATATCAGCCGGTGACAAAGGATGATTTTAAACTTTTGTTTTAGGAGTTTGTTGACTCGTCTTGGGCTTGCTATTCTCTTTTTAGGGCCCCTTCTATTCCTGCATTCCAAAACTCAGAAAATAACGAGATTCTAGAAGGCTTAATCATCAATTAAAATGTTAAGATTTTTAAAATTAATATTTATACCAACTCAACGGAGGTCATATTCTTCATTAATGGCAATTTAATTTAAAATCATCCACTCTCAACAATCATTAAAAATATAAAAAATCTCATTATAAAGAATTGAGAGGTCATTTTGGAATACGTCTACAGAAAAGCAAATTGTTGTGCCAATCACATTGCTCACAAAGCCTCTAACAATCATTTTAATACTACTTTACTTGATGAGGTTCTTGTAAAAGCATTTTAATTTTTGATATGACTTGATTTTGATCTTTTACATGATATTTTAACCGTAATTTTGTATTCAAGTTAAATCATCGCCGTCCTTCTCTGATTTTGCGAATCTTTTGCAACCATTGTTTGAGATTTTGTCCGAAATTTCTTATTAACAGTAAAAAGAAGTCTGTCGCTTTTCCCTCCCAACAAGGATGGGTGCATCCGAAATGATTGAAGGTGCCATTTTTCTACCTTCACGGTGATGACGTGTATTGGCAGTTTTAATCCAAGCATGGGCTATTCTTTAACTTGTACGCTGCACTTGTTGCATGCAAAACTACAGTTTTATGGAGTAATAAAGTAAGATAACTTCCGACTGACTACAAAAACTATATTAATTGAGGGATGTCACATATTGTATCGCCTTTTAAATTTTTGAACAAAGTATATCGTTATGTTAATTTTAAAACTAAAATCTTCTTGTTAACAATCATTACTCAAATAATAATAATTAAAATATATGCACATCTTATCCCTCACCTCATGAAAATATATGCATACAAAAAGCATAGAATCGAGGGAGCTGCTAAATGTGGGGTTCTCGACCACGATAAATAAATAGAAATGCCAAAATGAAAAAGGAGATTTGACAATTTGACTTGGTAAGTGATACCACGTCAAGAGTCGAAAAGAGGGCTGGGTAAAACGTGTTTTGACTTTTGACTCCATCTTTATTGCTATTGATGGAGCAACACGTCTTGCCTGGTCATCATGGGATGATCATTGTTGACATCCTAACACCGGCACTTCCACCTCCTTCATCATCCTTCATTTAATTTGTACATCACAACACAAATAAGAGTCGATTATATTAGAATTTGCGAAACACCGCCACTTAATTATAATCAGAATCGGCTCCTCCAACCGTCCCACGTGCCACGTATCCCTCGCTTGAAGGAAACCTTAAACTGCAGTTCTAATTCTGCAGACATTTTAGGGCATGTTTTTTTTTATTTTTAAAAATTATTTTTTATTTTTGAAAATCTGTTCGCACAAGTGTTTCTTATTAAATTGTTTTTAAAGTTATTTTTATTTATTGTTTTTAAAAATAAAAAATAGAAGTAACTTTAAATTATTTTCATTTTATTTTTCTTATTTTTAAAATACACTATTTTTATTATTAAAACTTATAATTATCTTGATCAATTTTTATTATTAATTACTATCATTAACTGCCTATAATTATTACTATCAATTCATTTTTTAATTTTAAACTATTTTTTAATTGACATAACCAAATGAATTTTTATTTTATTTTGTTTTAGAAATAATTTTAAAAACTGTATTATAAAATGATTTTAAAAATAAAAAATAAAACAGAAACCAAACAGGCCCTTACTCTCTCCCGATTTAATTCAGAAGAATATTATATTTCTGGGCTTTATTTTTAAATTAACTTCAAGAGAAACATTAGGCTGGATTTAACATTGTTTTTTTGCTTCAAATTTAAAAATTTATTGGTCTGATTTTTTTGGATAATCAAAGGAAAAAAAAATTATTGGTCTGATCCTTCAATTTATATTTAATATTTAATTTATTTTGACAAATCGTAAGGAAAAAAAAAACATTACTCATTCCCTTAAAATTATGACTCACATTAAAAATGCTGCATAGGTATTTGTAAGTCTGAATTAAAATTGAAATTGAAAATGTACACATTCCACGCCGTTCAGGACATCCCGTCATTTCACTTCGTGTGTTGAATTGTGGAGCACAATGAACAAATAAGAGAAAGAAATTTTTGCTCGAGAGAGAGAGAGAGAGAGAGGGAGAGAGAGGGAGGGAGGGAGAGGGAGAGAAATTTGTGAAGAAAAAAAAAAAAAACCAGATTCAAGGAAAAAAGTGAGCAAGGTAAAAATAGTATTAATTTACATTAAAAAAACAAAATTAAAAGAATGATTATTGTTATTATCATCATCATCAATTTATCATGATCATTATTGGGCCAATAAAGGATTATGTATGCGAGCTGTGTCTGGGATAAAATGCTCCGTGCAAAGCGACTGTTTATAAAGGTGATCATGTCAGCTTCGATCGTCCCTTCTCATACGCATCTCTCCATCTTCCTTAATAATACCCCAATCCCGCCTCTCTTTAATTCCCAATCTCTTCCCCCGTCTCTGCAATTCCCTCTGTATCGACGTTTTGATCGACGGCATGCGTCTCTGACCGGTCACCTTCTCCGCATTCCAGTGAACTGGCTCCGTTAATCCCCCCCCCCCCACTTTGATCCATTGCCTCTGAATTTTCGGAGCACTCTGCAACAGCGAAACATTTCCGTTCCCTTTCCCACTTCCAGATCCGTTAGCTGTTCGGTTCTGATGAGGAAATTCGGGAGGAGAAGCATTGATGGATTAGGGGCATCCCGTGACTAACTTTCTTGGCGTTTATGTTACTACTTCTCTCATTCAGAATCCAATCACGAGCTACTTCTGAACTCGTTCCTCAGCTCCACAACTTAGGGTTAGGGTTTGTTGCGTTTCAGAAATGTTTAAGAAAATCATGAAGGGGGGCAAGAAGCCCTCCAAGTCCGACCCTAACGAGTCACTGCTTTATGGCTCCGGTCCTACAGGGAACCGCAATTCGGCCCCGGCCCCCGCCAATGTGGTCGTTAACCATGCCTCTCGGACTGGGGCAGCTGCATCGGGCCCCAATTCTATGGCTGGTGCTCCGCCTTCAGGTACTATCGATCCCCTTCCGATGTTCCGGGATGTGCCCGTTTCGGAAAGACAGAACTTGTTCCTTCGGAAGTTGAAGGTTTGTTGTTACGTTTTTGATTTTACGGACACCTTGAAGTCCGCTCGCGAGAAAGAAATCAAGCGGCAGTCACTAATGGATTTGGTTGACTTCATACAATCCGGGTCGGGTAAAATTACAGAGGCTTGTCAGGAGGAAATGATAAGAATGATATCATTAAATATATTCCGATGCTTGCCTCCAGCATCCCACGAAAATACAGGACAAGAGGTTACTGATCCGGAAGAAGAAGAACCTTGTTGGGAGCCAGCATGGCCTCATTTGCAGCTTGCGTATGAGTTGCTTCTGAGATACGTGGTGTCATCCGATACGGATACTAAGGTTGCCAAGCGGTATATTGATCATTCGTTTGTGTTGAAATTACTTGATTTATTTGACTCCGAGGACCCTCGTGAGCGAGAATTTTTGAAAACCATTCTCCATCGCATATATGGTAAATTCATGGTTCACCGGCCATTTGTTAGGAAGGCAATTAACAACATTTTTTATCGTTTTATATATGAAACCGAGAGGCATAGTGGTATTGGCGAGCTTCTGGAGATACTGGGGAGTATAATCAATGGATTTGCACTGCCCATGAAAGAGGAACACAAGTTGTTTCTGGTGCGGGCGCTAATACCATTACATAAACCAAAACCGGTTGCCGTATATCACCAGCAGTTGTCGTACTGCATCACTCAGTTTGTTGAAAAGGACTTCAAGCTGGCTGATACAGTCATTAGGGGCTTGTTGAAGTACTGGCCTGTAACCAACTGCCAGAAGGAAGTGCTCTTCCTGGGGGAACTGGAGGAAGTTCTGGAGGCCACGCAAGCTGCTGAATTCCAACGGTGCATGGTTCCCCTGTTTAGAAGGATTGCACGATGCCTCAATAGTTCTCATTTTCAGGTTTGTGGAAAATTCTCTCTTTACAATGTTTTTGGTTGAGATTTGAATGCTGCAAGTTGAACAGTTTTCTATGTAATCTTGCTATATGGAGAACGCATCCAAACTAAAGTCCAATTTATTTATTTGCCTGTTCTTCTAACTGAAGTTGGTGTTTCGCCATAATTTTCTTTTGCCCAGCATAGGTTCTAACTGTAAGCTGCCTGTCTAACAACTTCAATAGGCATATCTTTTTTCCTATTTACTCTTTCATTGGTAAACTCTCATGTAATTTGATTTTTTTTTTCCCAGTGCTCTAATTCTTTTAGTCAAGTTGTAGTTTTTGATTGATTTTATTCCCTTTAATAGCAAAAGGGCAGAAGACATGTTTACATTATTTATTAGAAAGGAAAGCATGTAAAATGAAATAAGTCCTATCTTTATGGCTTAACTATCTTCTGGGCTTTTACGCACAGAAATTCACTTGTAGACAGACAAGTGTTCAAGCATATTTCATGTACATGGACTTTTAATCTATTTTGGTTCATCTTCTTCAAAGTAGCTAATAATGAGCTGACAAAGTTGATTAAAATTGAATTCATCAGATTGTTAATATTTGATGGCTTGGGTCCTTTGGATGGCAACTTAATTTTCTGTTTAAGAAATTTTTAAGTAATAATTTATTTGTTTCTTGTTACCCCTATCTATGTGAAGATACATATAATGACATTTTAAGAATGCCAGCAAAATTGGAAGTTGGAGATGAATTTGTCTCCTATGTGCTGAAAGTGAGAAGTGTTGAAACTCGAAATCTTGGAATATATTTTTTCCGTAGTGGAGGATTTACCCTAGTCAGTGAGCCTGTGCTTGAAGTAGCGACTATATTGGCATTGTTGTAGGATTTTCTGCTGAAATTTTAGTTATCTGTGAATATAAATTTGGACAGTGTATAGAAATATGAAGGAGTCATGTCTGATCAAGAAAGATCCTGGGAAAGGTAAGCCCGGAGCTTGGTTATGGGACTATCTTTTAGGGTCTTAACATGTAATAGATGGTCCCACGGTATCCAATTAAAGTTAGAGATTAAGATCAAATTGCCTTACAGGGTTTATTCAATAGCACTCTGCACCCTGTGGTTTGGAAAGTTTGATTCACCCACCATGTTGTTGTTGGCTAGCAATTAGCACATGAATCCTGATCCATCTATTTTGTAATTGATGGAGATGATAGACCCAGTAATGTGAAAGTTATTTATTTTTGGCTTGAACCATGGGATAACAAATTATGATAGGCAAAATTTAAAGGATTCTATCTGAATATCTTCTCAAACTCTCATTTGAATCCAGTAAGAAGTGGGCCTCCCGAGTCATGAGTGAAACATTACTGATTGTACTTTCCTACTTACGTTTCTCATTATGGAATGATCTTGTCAAGATGTTAAATGGCATGAACTAGAAATTGCTAGTTCGAAATTGTGCATTGGTCAATTAATATGTTGAGACCTTTGGCAAGTATTTCAATTGTTTGTACTTCGTAGTGCTATATTTGGGTCTATAATGAATTTGCTTGGTCACAAATGATTTCTTTCTGAAACAGTTAATTGACTGATGTTTTGTTATTTCAGATTCACTGTGTATTGTTTTTATGTATACATTCCCACATGGCTGATTTTATATTGTTCTCAGCAAAATGCACTGCTAACTCTAAACATTTTTCTAACCCTTGTGCATTTGTTTTTGAGTCAAACATCCTTTATCCTTGCTTATAACTTTGAAACTATTGTTTCTTGGTTGGCTGTATTTTTACAATTATTGGCTTGGAATTCCTGGACTTGTATTCAAAGTCCTTAGCATTATTCAGAGTTAATCTCTGGCTTAAAATTATTTTTGATTCTTCTGCGTTTGTACCAATGAAAGTACCTTCAATGTTTTTGTGCAGACATGTTCTTTTACTGTACTGTTTCCTATATGCAGCCTTTAATTCGATGGAGTAAATTACATGGATCTCCTGTGAGTTGTTTTGAAATTATGCAGATTTTTCTTTTATTTTTGAAACTTATGCAGACTTTTCCCAAAAGCAAAAGTAAATTACATGGACCTTTTAAGTTTTCTAAAATTATACAGATTTTATATTTTCAAAGCCTCACATACCTCCTCTAAAAACAAAAAGTAAATTAACATACTTCTCATGAGATTTGCAGAAATATAACAATCTTCCTATTTTTAGGGATGTTTGTTTACATTTAGGGGAAACTGTGCAATTTACCCTTTACTCCTGGGGAAATTTGTGCAGGTTTTGAATATAGAGGGGATGTACATGACAAAATTTAAGAGAATTTTGCATTAGTTTTTAAAATATAGGGATATCCATGTAATTTCAGTAAAACTTAAAAGAGATATATGTAATTTATATTTTGCTGCCGCCAGAATTTTTTTTTTTTAAAATCCCTGTCGTCATGCCCCCACCCCACAAAAAAAAAAAAAAAAAGAATGTCAAATGTGATTTATTAGGCTTGCTAGCGACTAGTGCTAAGTTTTTAGGTTTAGGATTTAGGATTTATGATTTAGGGCAATTAGAAATATTTTTTCATTGAAGAAAATATTATTTTGTTAGCTCACATTAAACTTTGGTGGTCTGTTAAAATTTAAAAAAAAAAGAAGAAGAAATATTTCATAACAGACAATTTCTTTTATGATCTAGGATTTAGGGTGATTAGAATTTCTTTTTCCAATTAAACAAATATTTTCTCACATTAAAATTTGGTGGTCTGTTAATTTTTTCAAAAAAAAAAAAGAAATATTACACAGTAGACAAAATTTCTGAGGATATGCAATGCATGTGTTACAGCTAAGGTATTGAAAACCAGATTGGTCATTAAATCAATCAAGACACTAGTTTAAAGGTTTAATGGTCAGAATTGTAGTTGACCTGTGATCAAATTGGTCATAAACAAAGCATTTTATTAAGCTCTTTAAGGTACTATTTTAATGATTCACTGGTTCAACAAGGTGGGTTGACGTATATTTCGTTTATGGTTACAACTGATGCCTATTGCTTCGGTTAAGCTGTTCACCATGCTACCAAATGGTAGTGGTGAACTTGGGTTGTTACTGGCTTGTGGTTACTATCAAGATATGTTCAGATAGGATCCAAATTTTTTTTTCGGTTGAACCAAAAGTTCAGCTGGTTGTTGTGGAATGGAGCAGTAGGAGAGAGGGTAAAATGGTGTTGCCAAATCCTTACTTAGGGTCTTTTTTTCACTTAATTTATTTCTATATTTACTTTTTAAGAGAGGGGGAGTTAATCATTAATGGTCTTTTTAAATAAATCCTCCCTTGGTCACCGAAAATTGTCTTAGTCAGTATGTCGGATTTGGGACCTTCTCCGGATGGGGATTTGAATTACTTCGCTGGTGCTGTGACTTGAATGGTGTGCTTGTATAGTGTTTTTAAATATGCCCTGCGGAACGGTTTGCTTAGGGACATTTGCGATGCAGGTTGCAGAACGAGCCCTCATCTTGTGGAACAATGAGCACATTGTAAGCTTAATTGCTCAAAGTCGGAGTGTGATATTACCAATAATATTTGAAGCGTTGGAGAAAAATATCCAGAGTCACTGGAACCAGGCAGTTCATGGGCTGACTGTCAATGTTCGGAAGATGTTTATGGAAATGGATGATGAATTATATGAAGAGTGCAGGAGGCAGTATGCAGAGAAAGAGGCCAGAGCCGAAGAGTTGGAAGAGCAGCGACTATTGAATTGGAAGAGACTCGCAGATGTTGCTGTTGAGAGAGGGGGTGATGCCATGATCATAGATTAGCCTCATTGCCTTCGCATTTCGAAGGATGATTGATGGATTATGGATTTGCTTCCCCTAATATTGGTGCCATTTTTTTTTCTGGGTTTCTTTCTTTCCCACTTAATTTTTCCCCACTTCTATCATCATTTTGTCTGTCAGATGATCACCAGGCGGCAAAAGTAGTGATAAATGTAACTTTAAAATGTGTTGGAAGTCTGTCACCTATATCTTCAGATTAAGAATGTTCTGTGAAATATTCTGTTGTATACTGAGAGAAATACGAAGTTTTCCCTTCATTCTTCTTGCTGGCGCAAAATCTGAATCTTATAATTAGTAGATTTGACTCAGCATGTTTCTACGTTGCATCATTCAGAAATACCATTGAACTTAAGGTGAGTGTAAGCCTGATAAATTATTACATTCGTTATTTACAAAGCATGGCCGTGAATTCTTTTCCCTATAGCAATGTTTTCACCTTTGAGTGCCAATATTTGAGTGACAAGTGAAATACTTTGTGGCAAGTTGTCATGAGAGAATTATGAGAAATTCAAGAGGACTTAGCAATTCATCTATTTGTCCCTTTGAGTGCCAATACGAGGAGAACCTTATTCATTTACTTCGTGATCGTGAGAGAGCGGAATAGATATGGAGAGAAATTTTATCCACTAACGGTCATTTTAGTTTTTCTCTGGTGATTTGCAGTTTTATGGCTCACTTGGCATGCCAAACATAATCCTGGACACGGTTTTTTCAGGAAATGGCCTTGGTCGAGAGTTTTTAGTTTGGTTTACTGGGGACTCTGGACCTTTTGCTGCTCTTTTGTCTTTGAAGGACAGAGTCCCAAATCAAACAAGATCATTCACATGTGTCTGCATCTTCTTTAGAAACAAGTGGTAAACAACGAATTAAAGCACCCAGTCTTTTTAGATGATGTCAGCTCGGAAGATATTTGGAACCCGCATCAAGCAAACTGTGTTTGCGTTGATGGCGATGGCTCTGTATGGAATCAACATCGTCCAGCTTGTGGTGGAGTCATAAGAGATACCAATGATAATTGGGTCATGGACTTCCACAAGAACATTGGTACATGCTTAGTAACTGATGTTGAGATTCTAGCCATCAAAACTGGACTAGAGGTTTGCCAGCATCTTAATCTTACCAAGCTATCCATTTACTCTGACTCTACTAATGCTATAACCTTTTAAAGAAAGATTGTGCTCTAGATCATCATCTACACAGTGATATCGACTATATTAGGGAACATTTGCTCCTCATGGAAGAAGTGACCATTCATCACTCTCCTAGATATATTAGTAGATGTGCTGATTTCATGGCCAAAATGGGCCAAGGTGGTCCTACTGAAAAGATCCTGGTGCCCTTTGTGCGTGTAGATTGTTTGCCTTTGTATTTTGGTGACAAGAGCCTTATTTTGGCTCCCTTGTAATTTTTTCTGTTTTGTTTTTCTTTTATTTCAAGCTTAGCTTGCCGTCTATATCTCAAAAAAAAAAAAAAAAAGCAAATGTTTTCACCTTCTAACAGCTTCTCTTGCTATTTTTTTTTTTAAAGAAGAATTGGATAGTTAGTGGTCACCAAACCTTGAAAGCTCTTTGAATAAAATGTTATTTTATTTTCTTCATTATTAAATCGAACTAATGTTTCATATTTTATAAAGTATGGAAATGATTTAAATTTTTCTTTTTATGAGAAATGAGTGAATGAAGAAAAGGCTAAGTTTTGTAGGGCACAACAGTCAACAAACAAACCCTAAATTTAGATCTAATAAGCGTTCCAAGTATTATAACACAATAACAACGGTTTGATTTAATGAGTTGGTTGTCGATGGTTTTGTCTTATAACATTAAAAAAACATCCAATCTCAAAATTTTAGTAGAAACATTATAAGTAAGGAGGATTCTAGTCATGATGATTATTTTGAATTTTTAAAGGAAAATATATATTGTTAATTTTTAAGTATTAATATTTAATAGTTATAATTGAGACATTTATCAAATGAGTATTTTTAGAATAGTGACTAGGGGTAAGCATTTAGTCGGTTCAGTTTTAATTTCTCTAAAATCGATTGATCGAATTATATAAAAAATTTGGATCGAATCAAAATATATAACCGAATTGAATTTTAATGGTTCGATTCTATTGGTCTATTCGGTTCATAGGCTTTGATTTCGGTTTATAAAATTTAATTATTCATATATTCTTCTATTCAATTTTTTTCCCTTAATGTTAAAGGCCCAACAAAAAAATAGCAATCTTATACCATAATTCATGAGAAAATTAATAAGACTCAATACTATTACCCTAAAAATTAAATTGTAGACATTAAAAATCAAGACATTACATTAAATAAAAAAAATACTACTACTGCAAGTAGTATAAAGATATTTATTACTTATCTAAATGAGAATTTATTTACATTTTTAAAAATATAAAAAAAATATGAATAATTTGATCGATTTGATTTATTTAATTTTAAAATTTTTAAACTGAATCGAACCTATCAAATAAAATTTTTCTTATGAAAAAATTGAATCGAACTAAAAAATTAAATAAATAAAATTAAATTAAATTCAATTTTTAATTTTGAGTCAATTTTGCTCAGCCCTGATAGTGAATGGTTTGAATTCAAACCCAAAGAGAGAAGTTAAGTGCATCAAACCTTTTTAAGGAAAAACAAGTGAGTTGCGCGTTACTCGTGCTTTTTCTCATTATCGATGGTTCATGAACAGAAATAAAAAAAAAAATTAATATTAATAATTTTTGTGTGTTCAAGAGGAGAGAATGCCTATCCTGTGTGCAGTCTGAGTCTCTATACTTATATTGGCGTCTCCATTCTCTCGAAGGGCAGGAGCCGGAGGGCGCATACAGAGGATAAAATCAGAGTGGTCAGGGAAAATGTCGAAGAAACGAGGAGCTGCTTTGCTTCAGAAGGATGCTCCGTGGAGAGCATCATCGGAAAAACCTATTCCCAAAATTCATCATTCTCCGATTCTCCGTCTTTCCCAAACCCCTCATACCGATTATGCCATCTCCGTTATGAAGGTTCCTCTTTCTCTCTAATTTTCGCGGCATTTCCGATCAAATCCTTCACGTAGCAGTTCATTTACTTGCTTATTTGTTTTTTTTTTTGTCTCCGGGATAATGCAGCACCCCAATCCCATTGGAAGTGGGTTGGCCGAGGAAGCCATAGTGGAAGCAGCGGGTCCAGACTGTATCGTACCGGGGCAGATAACGCCGCTCAAATTACTTGGCGTCAAGGTACTGCTTTCTTTCTTGGAAATTGGAACTGAATTTTATATTGGTTGTTTCTTTTCTATCTTCCTTGCATGGAAAGACCTGAGAAGACTGAGCTCATGGGTTGTGTTATTTATTGGATTGTCATGTTAATATTAACTAAAGTTGCTTTCGCCTCGTTCATCTAGGTTAATTTTATGCTTGATGCAAGTTTGCGAATTTTGTTAGTTGTTTTTGTTTCAAGCAATAGGAAACCTGCAATTTAATTGATAACCAGCTTCTATATTGGCTCAGGATTTCATGATACTTTGGAGTTCCTTAATCTCACGTTTACTTTGTAACGGATAGCACCGCATTGCATAAAATTTTCTAGTTTTGAATAGTAGTTAATCTGCCATCGGTTCAGGCTTTTTAAATATCACTTCTTTTTGACTGTTTTGGTTTTAGATGGAAGGAATTGAAGGTGTGAGACTCTCGAGTCCGTGACCCATTATTGCTATTCCTTATATATTATGTATATATATCGCCTGAGAATTACCTAACCTACTCGAGCGCGGCCCTGCCAGATTCAACTTATACTCCCTTTCATTGATTTTTCTTTAGTTAAGTCTAGAAAAAACTGACATAGGCTGCTATACGTTTCAAAAATATTTATACATAGGGTTTTGTCAGATGAAACCCCAATTAATGAAATCTTCGATACTCTAAGTGGGATATGCTTAAGTTTCATAAACCACAGGGATTTTTTTTTTTTAACAAAAAGAAACTAATATAAACCACTCCTTTGGTTTTTGTTGGTATTATGGGAGATTGGAGAATCCAACCTTTGGACATGTGATTCCTTGTACAGTCTTCTGTTGCCCTTACTTTTATGGTTCCGCAAACGCCCCCACATGTTATATGACTCATCTCATGAGCTACAACATCGAGAACAGAAAGCATTTAGCTCTAGACTATCGGGAGAGATATTATTGGTTATGCCTATTTTAGGTAGAATATGTCTGCACGATGGTCTGCTTGACACTTTCCTGGTCTCTTTCATGTTTGGACAGGTCTGGCCTATCAATTTGGACATGAAGATTTTGGAACCAGTTGGACGGGAACTTAAGTTGCTTGGGAAGGTTAAGTCCATCCTTTTATATATCTCATGCATGCAAGGAACAAATATAAATGGACTCTTTTATTGATGTTGAACTTGACAAAGTTTGCATTTGACATTGGTGAAATTTGGCTTAGATAAAAGAATTACTTACACATTGATACATGGGAATTAGGAATAATAGAATAGGGATAATTAGGCGAATTAGGGATATAAGGGTAGTTTGGGTATTTAGTATATTCTCTATAAATAGATCTTTAGGGTGTAATGGGTCATTGTGAATGGAATTAATCTTATCTTCCTAATTCCCCTAATTACCCCTATTCTGTTATTGCTAATTCCCATGTATCACACGTGGACTGAACAATATGTTAAATCCTTTTCTGTGGGAGCTCATTGGTCCTGATTTGAAATTGAACTTTTTTATATAAACTTGCATATAATCAGGAACGAAGCAATGGTGCCTACGAGCTTTATGTATATGCTCTTGTACTTTTGAAATGTGACTTGATATTAGTGCATATCACATTATGTGGTAACATTGTCGTGGTCAAATGCTAATATTACTGTCTGGCCCAAATTACCTATGCTATAGTAGTTTGAACTTCTAAATAATTATATGCCATTAAGGTGTGGCTTTATGAAAAGTAATTTTCATCATCTTAAATATCGGAATGGGATGCGATGGGCAGAAAAATTAAAACCTATCCTTCTGTTACAATTTCTGTGTATAAGATTTTCGCATTAAATGCACAGAA